TCTTGCTATCAGTGCCATTAGGTAACTTCCTGACTTGTGCAATCCCAGGCCTGGTGCTGTCTTTATCCAGGCACTGACTTTACACAAGCAGAAAGGTTGACTTTGGTTTGTTTGTCAGTTCTACTGGGGCCAACTCTCCCCACCCTGCTGCTTAGCTTTTCCCTCGTGGTGGCTCCCCTGGGGTCATCAGGGGGTGACCTAGAAGTCCATCCAAGAAACCTGAGATCTGGGGTGGGAGCACCAGGTAGGCTGCAACTTGGGGTGCTTCCACCCCATTTTTGAGTGCTTGGGATCGAGTCCTACTGCTGCTTCCCATCCAGCTTCTTGCTAATGTACACCCTGGAAGCCAGCAGGCGATGGCTCAGCTACTTGGGTCCCCGCCACCCATGTGGGAGACCTAGATAGGGTTCTTTGCTCTGGCGTTGGCCTGACCCAGCCATAGCTATCGTGGTGTTTGGGAAGTGAACCAGACGACAGAAACTCTCTCAGTGTCACTCTGCCTTTCAAATGGATAAAAATAAAACACAAGAACATACAAGTGTTTGGAATTGCATGGCATTCGATCTTCAGACCATCTCTGGACCTGAGATACAGCTACTCGGTGCAGGAGCTCATCACTGGAGGAGGCAGACAGGACAGGCAGTTTCCACCTTCTGTGAGCGATGAGATAGCAGGGAGCTTACATGGTCCTGTGGGTCTCTAGCCTTGTTGGGGCAAGGGCCAGAGACATCAGAGAAGGCTTCCTGGAAGAGGTGACATCTTGCTTACGTGGCCTTGTGGTTGCCCATCAGCCCTTTCTCCATAAAGCTGGCCCACACGGTGGTGGCAGAAACCCACTTCCCCAAGGCCCAGCTGCAGTTGTGATGAGACGTGGCCTGGAGGTGACAGTCCTAGCAATCCTACCCACCTCTCCCTCTTGGTTGTAGGCAGGGATCCAGGCCAAGCCTGAGCCTCTTCCACCAGGGCGCCCAGGGACTAACTCATCTAACAAGTGGGTGGCACGGCCAGGGTCTCAACTCGGGCTCTCCAGCAGCACAGCCTGTGCTCTGGGTAGAGTTCCAAGGAGGAAGGAGTCTGTCTACACGGCCAGGAGTTGGGAGGCACTGTGGACCTAAGCTCACGCCTCTCCCAGGCAGCCCCTGAGCCCTGCCAGCCCTCTCTCTCCAAGCCCCTCCACTGCCTCCTTTCCCCCGAGGGCCTGGCAGGCAGTTGGTTCAGTGGGACCTCACCCCTCTGGCTACCTGCACAGGGTTCGATCCCCATCCAACTGTGGCTATCGAGCCCCTTCCTGCTGGTTTTGGAATTGATGGGGACGTGCAGTTGTGCCAGGAAGCCACCTGTCCCAGGCTGGACTGGCCACCGCGGACCCTGGCTCTGAAGGCAGCCCTGTTCCATTCCACCTGCCCCTGGGACCCAGAAACTTCACTGCCAGGACAGAGAGGAGCGAGGGTGGGGACACGCCCATCTCTGGGCCTTTTCTGTTCCCTAACCCCGACTTTCCCCACCCCTGCCCACCTTCTTTCCTGTTTTTCGGTTCTGTGAGATGCCCCTGTTTGCATCTTAAGCCAGCTCAGGTCTCTTCCTTGCAAGCAAAGGTGTTCCTGGTGGTTAAAGGTTCAGATTCTACAGCCAGATCGGGAGAAATGAATCCTGGCTCTGCCCCTTCCTAGCTGTGCTCTTGGGCCAGTCACTCGCCCCTCACCTCATTGTCCCCATCCACTAAATGGGGACAGTACTAGTGTTGCATACACAGTGCAGCTTGGAAGGGTTGAGTGAATACAGGCAAAGCACTTAGAACAGTGTTGTGCTGGGTGGCCAGTGCCCCAAAATGGGGCACCATGTAATACTTTGTTTTTGGGACACTTTGCAGAATGAAAAAGGGCACTATTCATATTTTCCCTGGAATGACAGGCAAGCAAGACCAATCCGTAAGTTTAAGAAAATGCAACAAAGCAAACAGGCAGGCATTTGGTCTAGTGGCTGACACCCACCCGTGTGCCATATTGGAGTGTTGGGGTTTGACGCCTGGCTGCACTTCCTGATCACAGCTCCCTGCTCATGCGGACTCTGAGAGGCAGCAGGTGACGGCTCAGCTAGGAAACCTGTACTATGTTCTCGGACGCAGGCTCTCGCCCCACCAGCCCCAGCTGTTGTGGCATTTGCGGAGCAAATCAGCAGAAGGGCTCTTTTTCTCTCTGCCCCTCAAGTAAAAAGCAAGCAAATGAAAACCCCGGACAGATCCCTTCCATCTTGTGTGCTCTTCAGGCACTCCCGGAGGGCACGTTCGACAGGGACCACCGAGCCTCATGCGAGCAATTTCGGGGTGCAGGTGGGAGAGGGAGACGGCCCGGGCTGGCAGGTGGACGCGCTGGCCCCCGTGGCCAACATGGAGCTGGAAAGTTAATGCTGGCGGCACAAGAAAGGTCAGGGTCGCCTTTCCCTTTTCTTCTTGATGGATGGTCCACGCTTTGAAATGGGGACTGTCCAAGGCCAATGAAACTGGCACCATTCCAGGAAATTGCCACTCTGTGGGCGGGACAGTGACAAGGGACTGGAGGGCAGGGGTGAAGCCCAGGCAAGAGGAGGAACGGCCAGGGCCCAGGAGTTATAAGTGGCTGTGCCACGGCCTCTGCGTGGCTCCCCAGCCATGCTGCTCCTTGGGTTGCTGCTGCTGCTGGCCCTGCTGGCTGCTGCCCGCCTGCTGTGGGGCCAGTGGAAGCTCAGGAGCCTCCACCTCCCACCTCTTGTCCCAGGTTTCCTGCACCTGCTGCAACCCAACCTCCCCATCTATCTACTTGGCCTAGCTCAGAAATTCGGGCCAATCTATAGGCTCCGCTTCGGGCTGCAAGGTGAGAGCCCCTTCCCTCCCCAGGCCCGCCCTGGGAGGGCCAGCAGAGTCCTCTCGCTGCTAACACCACTCTGGCTCTTCCCCAGATGTGGTGGTGTTGAACAGTAAGAGGACCATTGAGGAAGCCATGATCAAAAAGTGGGTGGACTTTGCCGGCAGACCCCCTGCGCCGAGCTGTAAGGGCTGCATGCGTTTCTTGGGGGCAGAATAAGGGGCTGGGGGCGGCAGGTGGTCAGGCCCTTGGCTGCCTTGGGCACCTCCCACTGGCCGCCCCCACATCCGTCCACAGACAAGCTGATATGTGAGCACTACCCGGACCTGTCGCTAGGGGACTACTCCCTGCTCTGGAAAGCCCACAAGAAACTGGCGCGCTCGGCCCTGCTGCTGGGCATCCACGACTCCATGGAGCCGCTGGTGGAGCAGCTAGCCCAAGAGTTCTGCGAGGTGAGGCGGGGCTCCAGGGCGCCGCAAGCCCCGCCCCCCGGCGGCGCCCCGCCCCCGGCCTGCTTAGCACCTGCTCCTCCACAGCGCCTGAGAGCCCAGGCCGGCGCCCCCGTGGCCATCCAGGAAGAATTCTCTTTCCTCACCTGCAGCATCATCTGTTCCCTCACCTTCGGAGACAAGGTCACCCCTCGGGCTCCGCCCCTCGGCCCCTCCCCTCCCCCCTCGGGCCCGACCTGAAAGGGTCCCCTCATTCCCTGTCAGGAGGACACCTTGGTGTGGACCGTTTACAACAATGTCCAGGACTTGCTGAAGGCCTGGGGCCACTGGTCCGTCCAAATGTTGGACATGGTTCCCTTTCTCAGGGTGAGGAGGTGAGCCCTGGGAGGAGGGGAGGGGCTGGAGGAAGGGGCCCCACCCCCGGCAGCCATACTCTCGGTGGCCCCGCCCCAGTTCTTCCCCAACCCAGGCGTGTGGAGGCTGAAGCAGGTCTTAGAGCACAGGGACCGCATCGTGGAGCGGCAGCTGAGACGGCACAAGGTGGGCGCTGCTGGGGCAGGGGCGGGGCTCCGGCGTCGCCTGCTTGCGGGGCATCCCCCCCATACCTCTCTCCCGCTGCCCCCACAGGAGAGCCTGGAGGCCGGCCGGTGCAGGGACATGATGGACTACATGCTCCACGGGGTGGGCCGGCAGAGAGAGGAGCAGGGCCCCGGACAGCTCGTGGAAGGTCACGTGCACATGGCCGTGGTGGACCTTTTCATTGGCGGCACCGAGACCACGGCCATCACCCTCTCCTGGGCTGTGGCGTTCTTGCTTCACCACCCTGAGGTGCACCCTGGGGCCAGGCCAAAGGCTCCTTCCTGGAAGCCCGTCTAGGGGCCGCCTTCCTGCAGTCAGCATGAAGGCCGGGCTGGGGCCGGGGGTGGCTGGGGCAGGGCCTGGCCACTGGACTCCAGCCTTGTCCCCATTTCCAGATTCAACGGCGGCTGCAGGAGGAGCTGGACCTCGAGCTGGGCCCCGATGCTGCGGGCTCCCGGGTCTCCTACAAGGAACGGGCGCGGCTGCCCTTGCTCAATGCCACCATCGCGGAGGTGCTGCGCCTGAGGCCCGTAGTGCCCTTGGCCTTGCCGCACCGCACTACACGGCCCAGCAGGTGACCCCCGAGGCTCAGGGCCCGGTGAGGAACGCCCAGCTCATCCGGGCCAGCCTCTGACTCCGTCCTCCTGCAGCATCTCGGGCTACGACATCCCTGAGGGCACGGTCATCATCCCCAACCTCCAGGGCGCCCAGCTCGACGAGACTGTCTGGGAGCAGCCCCACGAGTTCTCCCCGGGTACGCAAGGGCGGCTGGGTGCCTGGGCTCGGAGGTGGGCCCCACGGCTGCTGCACACCCAACCCCTGCCCTTTCTGTCCATTGCCCCACAGACCGCTTCCTGGAGCCAGGCAAGAGCCCCAGGCTGCTGGCTTTCGGCTGCGGGGCGCGCTTGTGCCTGGGAGAACCGCTGGCGCGCCTGGAGCTCTTCGTGGTGCTGGCGCGGCTGCTCCAGGCCTTCACGCTGCTGCCGCCCGCGGGCGCCCTGCCCTCTCTGCAGCCGCTGTCCTGCAGCGGCGTCAACCTCCTGATGCAGCCTTTTCAGGTGCAGCTGCAGCCCCGTGGCCCGGGTGCCGCGAGCCTGGGCCAGGGTCAGTGACCGGGTAGGACCAGTGCCAGCCGCGTGCCTCAGTTTCTCCTTTATTGCTCCTGTACAAACCCTCCCCTCCCCCCTGTAAACATGGTGCTGTGAGATCGCGGGCAGAGAAGGTTTTTCCGGGCAGCCCCGGCTCCTCCTCTCTCGTGCGCGACCCCTCAGTGCTCGGCCGTCACACCGGGGTGCGAGAGGCGGGCCGCGGCTCAGCCGCCCTCTGCTGGCGACCTGTAGCTTCTTGGTCTCAGCTTCATTTCCGTGAAGGGCACCGAGAAGTCGAAGCCCTTCCAGTGGTACCAGCTCACTCCCTGGAAGAGGGTGGTCCCGGGTGCGGAGGTCAAAGCTGGGCCTCACCGCTGCCCGAGCCCGCCCCATAGGAAAGCAGCCGACCCCCCGCCCCTGTAACCCCCACCGCAAAGGACTGAGGCTGGATCCTGCGCGGGCCCTGCCCATCCAATAAACCCTCTGCTCACGGGAACCCAGCTGGGGCGGCATTATTAACCCATTCCCAGGCGACGCTGGGGCGCAGGCCTGTGCGGTCACATCACAGGGCTCAAGGCCGCTCGGCGGCCCCCCAACCACCCTACCCCCTCACCTGGTGGTCCACGATGCTCCCGTAGAGCCCGTTGAGGTTGGCGTAGTGGCAGTTCCGGTACCACCAGGCCCCGCGGTAGGAGACAGCGCAGGAGATGAGCAAGTTGTTGGGGTCTCGATCCCGAGCGGAAAAGACGCTGCCGCTGTGGTAGCTCATGGAGTCCCCTGCGCAGGGCGAGGGAAGGTGCGGTGAGGGCCTCGCCTGTCGGGCCCGCCCGCGCGGCCCCGGGCCCGCCCTTACCTGCAGTGCCCCGGTAGCCCTCCAGGTGGAGGCGGTAGTGCTCGGCAGCCGAGTCCACGCGGAAGGAGTCGTACTGCGCGTACACGGCCTCATCCCCCGCCCGCAGGTCCACGCGCATGGAGTAGTCGCCCGCCTGCGTCAGGCTGTGCAGGGCCTCGTTGCCTGAGGGCGGGCGGGGGGGTTGTGTCCTTGTCAGGGTCCTGGGGGCCACAGGACAGCCCCATCCCCTCCCTAGTCCCGCAACCCTGTGAGGCACTGACCCAGCCAGAACTCCCCAGAGATGTTCCCAAAACCGTGGGCGTAGTCTTCCCAGTCCCTCCAGAAGTCCGTCTGTCCGTCCATGCGGCGCTGGAACACCTGGGAAGCAGGTAGGGGGCGCTGTGAGCCTCTGGCTGCGCAGCTGCAGCCACGGCCCTGCACGGACGGGGAGCCCGCGGCCGCCACCCACCAGCCAGCCGCCGCCATCAGTCTCCATGTCGCAGAACACGTCCAGGGGCCGCTCGCGGTTGCCGTTGAGGAAGATGGTGGTGGTCCCTGAGGAGCCGACGCCGTTCTGCATCTCCTCGATGCAGTCTCTGGGGAAGGGGATCCGAAGCCCGCCTGGGGAGGGAGCATGGGGGCTGGTCCGCTAGCCACGCCCAAGAGCCCCGCCGCCCACCCAGCCCTGAGCTCGGGCCTCAGCCCCGGTACCGGTGGTGAAGGAGGTGGACAAGGGCGGTGTCAGGCTCTGGCCCCACATGGCGTGGAGCCGCACGTTGTACAGGGTGGAAGGAAACAGGCCGAGGAGCTGGTGCGAGGTGACCCCTCCCGGGAGCAGGATCTCCTGTGGCACAGATAAGGGGTGGGTTGGGGCCCGGGAGGTGGAGACCCTCCCAGGGGAGCCAGAGCAGCACCTCTGGAATTAGCTCAGGGTGCGGAGTTGGCCACTGGGTGGGGATGGAGGCACCTGGGTCTGTTCTCCAGGGGTGTCCAAGCTGAGTAGGTAGCCTGTGGGTGGGACTTGGGGTTCAGTCCAAGTGAGCAAGGCCGTGCGAGGGGTCACCTCCTTGGCCTCCAGGTCTTGGGGGGCCTTCAATCCTGGTGGGGGACGGTGGCGAGACAGGCTGGATTCTGAGGCCCTTCCTGGACCCCCTCAAACCTCTCCTCCCCCGTCCTGCGCGGCCTCCCGGGCCACACCTGTGGTGAAGGAAATGCTAGCCGGGGAGGTGAAGTTGGGGCCCCGCAGGCCACGCACGGTGGCCGTGTAGTTGATGTGGAGTTCGAGGTCCTGCAGTGGGTAGTCCACAGCGCTGCCTGGGGCTGAAGCCTGGAGGGGCGGGGCTGCAAGGGGAGTGGGCATCAGCTCCGCCCCCTCCGTGCCTCCCCCTCCCACCCCGCCCACAGAGCAAGTCCTTGACAGAGTCTCCACCCTGCTCACCCCCGGGCGCTGTGACCCGGACGTTGTATTTGTCCACTGGGGCCTGTGGGGGCTTCCAGTGCAGCAGGGCAGATCCGTCGGTTAAGTTCAGGGCACGAAGCTGAGTAGGGCCGTCGGGAGCTGGAAGAGGGTAGGGGGCTCAGTGGGGTCCCTGCTGTTCTCCCCACCCCTGGCCTTCCCAGCCCCGCCAGGCCTCTGGTCTGCAGAGGGAGCCTCCAGCGCCTCCCTGTCTGCCTCCCGGTTCACCCTCGTTTTCTCGGGCCCCCTGCTTCCTGCCCCAGCCCCCAGTCCATCTCACCCGTGGTGAGGAAGCCTGTGAGAGGCTCACTCTCCTCGAAGCCGCGGACGGATACCACGGTCACCTCGTAGCGAGTGCCTGGCGCCAGCCCCTGGAGTTGATGGGTCTCGGCCCGGCCGTCCACCTGCACACTCTGTGGCTCCCCTGAAAACACAGTGGGGGCTGGGAAGCTGCCCAGGGAACCCCAGAGCAGCAGGAGGATGGGCAGAGCGCGGGGGGCAGGGGAACCGACAGCAAACAAGGAGAGGGGCAAAAAAAGGGGGTCACCTCCGTCCGCCAGCTGGTAGGAAACTTTGAAGCTGTCCACCCTAGAGGGCGGGGGCAACCAGGTGACCTTGGCTGAGGTCTCTCTGATGTCAGTGAATTGGAGGTCACGGGGGCTCTCCAGAACTGGGGACGGGGACAAGGCATGAGGGTGGGGAACAGGGGCGGGGCTGCCGTCCAGCGCCAACACCCCTCCGGTCTCTCCCACCCCCTTTCCCTAGGCCCTGGGAAAGGAAGTCACCTGTAGATTCCTCCAAGCCCCACCCCTCCCCTACTCTGGCTGAGGCACTAGGCGGTGCAGAGTACAAAGGCCCCACTGTGGGGCGCTGCGCCTAGCTTGGGGCAGTCCTCACCTGGGCTGAGGGTGCGGGCGGTGCCCTGGATGCTGTCGGCCTTGTACGGCCCCCGCAGCCCGTACAGCGTTAGGCTGTACAGGGTGCCGGGCCGCAGGTCCCGGAGCACGGCCGAGCGCCGCGTGCCCGGCACCATCAGCTCCCGCTGCAGCAGAGGTCGCAGGTGCGGCTCCAGGGTGCTCGGCGAGGGGACCCCGAAGCGGAGCAGGAAGGAGTCAAAGGCCCCGAGTGGGGCCTCCCAGTTGAGCCGCAGTGAACTGGTGGTCACATCGGTCACCGACAACTGGGACAGACGGGGCCCCAGTACCCCTGGGGTCTGACCAGCAGGAGCTGGCCCTGCACAGAGAGGGTGGGAGGGAAGGGTTTGCAGACTGAGGGGCAGGTCTCGCCCAGCCGACCGTCACCCTGCCCTGGCCCTCCTTCCCCATCTGTAAGGCGGAGCTAACGTGCAAGCACAGGCTGACGATGGCAGCCTCAGGTGGGTCCCCTTCCTCCTCCTCATGCTCCTCCTATGATCACCACTTCTGGGCACCCCCAGGCCTCCTTCCCGACTGCAGACAAGAGGCCAGGCCTCGCGCACCTGTGGTGCCCTCCACTGAGAGGGGTCCCAGGCGCATCCCTTCATGGAGCCCGTAGAGGAAGAACTTGTAGGTGGTGCTGGGCTCCAGGGCCGTGATGAGGACCTCGTTCTGGTCGCTGTCCACCAGCAAGGCCTGGGGCTGCCCCTCTGCGTCCTGATACTGGACCACGAAAGAGTCGAAGGGGCCCTGGGCCACACTCCACGAGAGGCGCAGGGAGTCGGGGGCTGTATCAGTCACCGCCAGCTCCCCCAGGCGGAGCTCTTCACGGTGCTCAGGGGTCTCAGGGGTCTCGGGGGCCGGTGTGTCCTCGTCGGGGGCCGGTGTGTCCTCCTCGGGGGCTGGTGTGTCCTCCTCGGGGGCTGCGTGGGAGAAGCCCAGGGAAGGAGCTGAGCTGGGGGTGTCACGGGGCCTTCCCCGTCCCATCTTACTCCCCAAAGAGGGAAACCGGGGCTCCTAGGGCTGGCCCAAGGCTGGGGCGGGGACTACCCAGGGCCTCTTGGCAGTCAGGTGGAGAGGAGGGAGCCAGGACCTTCCAATAGTTTTCTCCTCGAGAATTGAGCACAATGCTGCTTTGGCACTGACTCCCCCTGCTTCCCTGGGGCCTCTCTGAGCTCCAACACTGTGGCCTGTCTCCTGCTCCAGAGGCTACTGTGGCCCCTTACTCCTCCATGGGCTCCTGGGTGACATCTGGGTCAGGCTTGTTTTCCCTTCCCTGACCCCAGGGTCCCCCACTCCCAGCCCACCCTGGACACTTGCACCTGTCCCCCACCCCGGGACACCTGTGCTGACGGCCTCAGCAGCCACTGAGCTTGGGGCCCTGGCTCCGAGGTGAGGGGGTGCTGGCTGGTGAGTGTGGCAGGCCAGCCACACGGCAGCACCATCCCAGTCCCAGGCTCTGGCCAGGCTGCCCTCGGGGGCTGTTGGCAGCTTCGATGAGAGGAGTCTATTGCATAAATGCAGCCATTTCTCCAGCCTCTGCGTCCCTGCCCACTGCCCGTCCCAGTGATTTTCCGCTTGAGAGAGCACCCCTGAATCACCCACAGGAGCAGATTTGCCCTGATTTGGGCAAGGACCCCCAGCAGGGTGGGGAGGAGGCGCTAAGACGCTGAGCAGTGGGTGGTGACGGGGCAGAGAGCCAAGGCCAGGAGGCCACGGGGCCTCGCCCAGCCTAGTCCGGGATCAACCAGGGCTGACGTGGCCGTGAGCTCCTCCTCCTGGCCCCCGCTGCCCGCTCCTGCCAGTCCTGCTTCTTCGGCCTGCTTGCCTCACCTGTCACTCCCAGGGCTGAGATGGGGCCCAGGCGCTTCCCTCGGAGGAGCCCGTAGAGGAGGAACTTGTATCTCCTGCCCGGCGCCAGGCCCTCTATGGTGGCCTCCCGCTGGTCCGCAGCCACAGGCACTGCCTGCGGCTGCCTGTCTGCATCCCTGTACTGGATCACGAAGGCATCAAAGCGGCCCTGGGTCACCGTCCACGCCAGGCGCAGGGAGTCCACGCTCTCATCCGTCACTGCCAGCTCGCCCAGGCGGGGTGGGGGCTGCGGCTCCTCCTCCAGGGATGCTGCGGGGAGGGTAGGGGTGCTCTCAGGCGGGCACTGAGCCAGCTGCCAGGGGCTGGGAAGGGCCCTGGGTGGCACAGACAGACAGGCAGGACTACCCCTGGGGTGTGAGAGCCTTGTCTCCTCTCTGGAGGCCACTGCCCAACTCCCTCCCGCCCCTGAGGGTGGAGAGGGGGCCTGCACTGCCCCTGACCCAGAGACACCACAAACAGAGCTGGGCTGGCAGCTCACGGGCTCCCAGTGCCGGCCATGACAGCACCCCCCACTCCCTGGGCCATCATCACAGGCCACCCCCTCCACCTGCTGCCCCAGGGCAAGGTTGGAGAGAAGCCAGGGGCAAGCAACTGAAGGGCCCAGCCCAGGTTGGGTATGTGCAGAAGTGGGGGATCCGGTCCCCACAGTGGGGCTTTGGGGAACAATTACGGGCCCCCACTGGCTGGCTGCTTTGTCCTCTGGCCAAGGTGACTCATGGTCTGGGGAGCGGGCGAGGGTCAGTGACCCACCCCACCCCTTCCTCCAGGGGGCTGAGTCATGGGCACGACAATGACAGTGGATTTTTCCAGTCTTTCTGCAGCCAAGCCTCCCCTTATTTTCCATCTCTTGCCTCCGAGGTGGATGGGCACCCTTGCTGAGTGCCAGCGGGTGGTGTTTGCCCCTGCTGGGCCGGGGAGAGGCAGCTTGGGGAGCGAGGCAGGGATGGGTGTGCCCTTTGCTGCCTGTGACCTCAGGGAGCACACGAGATGTGGCGCCTGGGCCTGCCCTGTGCTTTTGCTGTTATGGTTGTATGCTAGGGCTGAAGGCAGGAGCCATTTCATGGGGCGGCCATGGGGGCAGCACCCCGCTCACCCGTGGTGCCGTCGGCAGAGAGGGGGCCCAGCCGCTTCCTGCCCGCCAGGCCATAGAGCAGGAACCTGTACTTCCTACTGGGCTCCAGGCCGTGGACGGTGAGTTCGCGCTGGTCTGCAGCCACGGGCACCATTTGCAGCTGGCCAGCTCTGTCCTTGTGCTGGACCACAAAGGAGTCGAATTCACCCTCGGGGACCGTCCAGGAGAGGTGCACAGAGTCAGCAGTTGTGTCTGTCACAGTCAGCTCCCCCAGGCGGGGAGAGGGCTTCGTATCTGCGGCTGAAAAGACAGGGAGGGGCGTGGAGGGTAACAGAGACCATGACAGCCATGGAGGCTGCCCAGCTGCCTCCCTGGGCTGTGGCTCTGGGAGCCGAGAGGGGGGCTGGGGCAGGGAAAAAGAGGAGCCGGGCAAGAAAGCAAGTGCCCCCTGGGATGAAGGGAGAGTAAGGGAGCAGGATGAGAATGAGGGGGAAAGGAGTGCTCAGGGCTGGATTTCACTGGACTCCAATAAACCGATGTGGGAGCCTGGGGCCCAGGAACATGCAATTCCAACTGACGCCACCAGGGGGCAAAGGGTAGCCTCCAGCCCTCACTCACCAGTTTTTGCATCCACAGACACTGGGCCATGGCGTTTCCCATCTTGGAGTCCAAACAGAAGGAACTTGTACTTGCGGGCCGGCTCCAGCCCCGAGACAGTGACCTCACGGAGGTCTCTGCTTGCTGGCACTGACTGCGGCTGTCCCTGTGCATCCTTGTATTGGACCAGGAAGGAGTCGAAGGGACCCTGGGCCACCGTCCAGGAGAGGTGCACGGCATCTGAGCTCACTGTTCCCACAGACAGCTCCCCCAGGCGGGGCTCCAAGGGAGGCTGTGTGGGCAAGGGGGCTGGAACACAGCAGAGGAGGTGAACCGGTCTGGAACCTGCCACCAGAGGGAGTGCCTTCCCCAGGCTGTGCACCCAACATTTCCCAGCAGCCTTTGCTAAAGTGCTGCAGCCGGCCACGCGCTGGGGAGAGAAGCAGGTGCCCTTATGACTAGCACCGATCTTGTAGGGATCGAGGCACAGAGGGGTTAGGAAACACCTGTGACGCCGGGCAGGACTTTTGGAGGCAGACTCAGCCCCAGGGAACCATGCCCTCCTGAATCTGCTGAGTTCCCAAAATCTTCCAGAACAGAAGCACAGAACGTAAGGAAGGAGCAACAGAGCAAGACCAGGGTGAGAGCAGGGTTCCAGCGGAGTCCCCCTTCATGCACAGCCAGGGAAAGCATGAGGCAGGATCCTTAGCAGCATTAGAGAAAAGAGAGGAATGCAAGAGCCGCTGTCAGGGAAGAAGCAGTGAGCAACAGGAGGAAACCAGGGGTCAGATGTCGCCCCTCACTCACCGGTCATGCCCACGGTGGACACGGGGCCCACGCGCCGGCCCTCGTGCAGGCCGTACAGGTGCATCTTGTACTTGCGTCCCGGCTCCAGGCCCCACACGGTCACCTCGCTCTCCTCGCCCCCGACTCGCACCACTTGGGGCCGCCCGTCCCTGTCCTTGTACTGGACGCTGAAGGAGTCGAAGTGGCCCTGGGGGACGGTCCAGGAGAGGCCCAGCGAGTCCGGGGACGATGCTGTCACCGTCAGCTCCCCCAGGAGGGGCTCCTCGGGGGGCTCTGGGGCCTCCGTGCTGGGCTCTGTGGGGCTGGGGGTCTCGTCCACCTCTGTGGGGGCGGGGGTCTCTTCTTCTGCAGCTGAGAAGGGGAGACAGGGAGGTGAGGCAGGGCTCCTGGGACACGTCCTTGAATCTTGGGGACAAGGAGAGGGAGCCACGGCCACGACTGGGGTTCTGAGGTCACTTCCAGGCAGCCTGTCCTTGGGGCTGGAATCCAGCTCGACTGACAGCTAACAGACACACTCCTGCTCCAGGTCACCCGTGGGGAACCCGGGGTAGCCACCAGCACAGCAGTGCTCCCCACAACTCCTCATGCCCAGGAGGGGGCAGAGCTGAACCCACAGGAAGGCATAACAGGGCCAGGGCCACAGCCACAGCAGGGCCGTGGTCACCGCCCAGTCCCCAGCACCGTTCCCTGCTCAGCCATCAGCAAATAGCAAGAGGCAGAAACTCCTCAAGGTGCCCCCGGGGCTCCCAGCGTCCACTCACCTGTCACCCCGATGGCAGACACGGGCCCCACACGCCGGCCCTCGTGCAGGCCGTACAGGTGCATCTTGTACTTGCGCCCCGGCTCCAGGCCCCACACGGTCACCTCGCTCTCCTCGCCCCCGACTCGCACCACTTGGGGCCGCCCGTCCCTGTCCTTGTACTGGACGCTGAAGGAGTCGAAGTGGCCCTGGGGGACGGTCCAGGAGAGGCCCAGCGAGTCCGGGGATGATGCTGTCACCGTCAGCTCCCCCAGGAGGGGCTCCTCGGGGGGCTCTGGGGCCTCCGTGCTGGGCTCTGTGGGGCTGGGGGTCTCATCCACCTCTGTGGGGGCGGGGGTTTCTTCTTCTGCAGCTGAGAAGGGGAGACAGGAGGTGAGGCAGGGCTCCTGGGACAAGTCCTGGAGTCTTGGGGACAAGGAGGGGGATCTATGGCCACGGCTGGGGTCCTGAGGTCACTTCTGAGCAGCCTGTCCTTGGGGCTGGAATCCAGCTTGGCTGACAGCTAACAGACACACCCAAGTCCAAGGTCAGTTGTGGGGAATCTGGGGCAGCACAGCCCTTCCCTGCCCAGGAGGGGGCAGAGCTGAACCCACAGGAAGGCATAACAGGGCCAGGGCCACAGGCACAGCAGGGCCTTGGTCACCACCCAGTCCCCAGCACCATTCCCTGCTCAGCCATCAGCAAGCAGCAAGAGGCAGAAACTCCCCAAGGTCCCCCTGAGGCTCCCAGCATCCACTCACCCGTCACCCCGACAGCAGACACGGGCCCCACACGCTGGCCCCCGTGGAAGCCATACAGGTTCATCTTGTACTTGTGGTCCGGCTCCAGGCCCGAGATGGTGACGGCGTCCTCGTGCCCCGGCACCCGCACCGCCTTGGGCTGCCCGTCCCCGTTCTTGTACTGGACCAGGAAGTGGTCAAAGTGGCCCTCGGGGACCGTCCAGGACAGGCTCAGGGAGTCGGGGGTGGCGTCTGTCACGGCCAGCTGCCCCAGGCGCAGCTTGGTGGGGGGCTCAGGGGTGGTGGTGGGAGGGGCCTGAATGGTCACAGCTTCAGCCTCCGGAGCTGGACATGGAGACAATCAGGCTCTCAGCAGACTGGTGCATCATGGGACAGCAAGCTGGGCAGAATGCCACGGCCCTGTGCTCCCACACACCTCCCTCCACCCCTTCCCTGTCACCCTTCCTAGGCCCTCATCCTGACTGCCCTGCGCTGGCCCACACCCAGCACTCACGTGAGGGCTCCTGGCTTCCAGCTCCTACCTCAGTCTCCAAGGCAGGCAGTATGTGGACCCGGCCCTCCCCAGCCGCCCACTCAGAGCAGGTCCCACACTCCTTCCCAGTCCTGGGCCTCCCTCCCAGCCCTGCAGCCCCATGGCCTCTCCCTGCAGGCTCCCTCCCTCCTGCTCTCCATACAGCCTCCAGGGCAGGGCTGAGCTCTGTGCAGGTGCCTCTGATGGGGCCACTGCTCACACTGGAGACCCCCTCAGGGGCCACACTGTTTCCTGCCTCCCACGCTTGCACAGGGGACACTGGTCTGACACATCGGCTTCTTTCTAAAGCTGTACCCAAGCTAACTCTGCCCAACCTCGGTCTCAGCTCTCCTTTGGGCGCCATTGACTAGGCTGCTTGGAGCATCCATCCTCTGTCCTTGCCTGGTCCCCAGCTTTGCTGTCACAAGTTCATCTCCGTGGCTGTATCTGCCGTCTCACAGGCCGCCTGCCTACTGTCATGAGTCCCTGTAGGTCAAGAACTTCCCCCACTGGGATGGCAACATCAGCACAGGATCCCTGCCTGCAACCCTGACCTCAGTGAGGTCATGTTAACAGCTCTACATCCACTGTGGGCGGAGCTACCCTATGCAAATACAGTCTTCGGTTTGTACACAAGCACCGGGGCAGCTGGAAGCTACCAGCAACCCAAGTGACCACTATTGATTAAAGGGAAAAGCGGAGCCAGTGCATGTGTCGGAGGGACGGTCACCCAGCCTCGGGGAGGACTGCACTGCTGACAGATGCCACAGCTCGGTTGCACCTGCCAGACCCTCCATAGACTGCCGGAAGTGAGACACAGGAAGAACCAGTACTGCTTTCCACTGGATGTCGAGAACTTACAGAGAAAGCAGAACGGTGGCTGCCAGGGGGCGAGGCGGAGGGAAAACGAGTTATTGATTAATTGTTATAAAATTTCAATTTGGAAAGACCAGGAGCTGTGGACAAGGATGATGGTGGAGGAGGGGGCTTCAAAATGCTCACAGACAATGCAGGTTACCTCTTCCTTCCAGCTCCCCCCCAACCCCACGCTCGTCAGTACCCCCGGCACACAGCCACTCGCTATACACTTAGAAGTGGTAAATGTTATCACCCACGCTTTACCACATGAAAAATCCAGAGAGTGTGGCATGAGGAGCAGGGATGGCAGCGAGAGAGTCTTGCTTACATGCAGGTCCCGGAGCAGAGCTGCACAGGCCACGTGTGCCTTCTAACAAAAACCACAGAACCCGGCCTTGCAGAAGTGGCCATGATGTTGACAGTACTGATGCTTTCATGAAGGTAGAGGAACCCGAACCGTCGAGGACTGTCTTCCCCACCCTGCTCTACCCTCACAGCCACTCACCAGTCACGCCCACGGTGGACACGGGGCCCACGCGCCGGCCCTCGTGCAGGCCATACAGGTGCATCTTGTACTTGCGTCCCGGCTCCAGGCCCCACACGGTCACCTCGCTCTCCTCGCCCCCGACTCGCACCACTTGGGGCCGCCCGTCCCTGTCCTTGTACTGGACGCTGAAGGAGTCGAAGTGGCCCTGGGGGACGGTCCAGGAGAGGCCCAGCGAGTCCGGGGACGATGCTGTCACCGTCAGCTCCCCCAGGAGGGGCTCCTCGGGGGGCTCTGGGGCCTCCGTGCTGGGCTCTGTGGGGCTGGGGGTCTCATCCACCTCTGTGGGGGCGGGGGTCTCTTCCTCTGCAGCTGAGAAGGGGAGACAGGGAGGTGAGGCAGGGCTCCTGGGACAAGTCCTGGAGTCTTGGGGACAAGGAGGGGGATCTATGGCCACGACTGGGGTCCTGAGGTCACTTCTGAGCAGCCTGTCCTTGGGGCTGGAATCCAGCTCAACTGACAGCTAACAGACACGCCCAAGTCAAAGGTCTGTTGTGGGGAATCTGGGGCAGCACAGCCCCTCCCTGCCCAGGAGGGGGCAGAGCTGAACCCACAGGAAGGCATAACAGGGCCAGGGCCACAGCCACAGCAGGGCCGTGGTCACACCCAGTCCCCAGCACCATTCCCTGCTCAGCCATCAGCAAATAGCAAGAGGCCAAGCCTCCCCATGGCCACCGGGGCTCCCAGCATCCACTCACCTGTCACCCCGACAGCAGACACAGGCCCCACACGCTGGCCCCCGTGGAAGCCATACAGGTTCATCTTGTACTTGCGTCCCGGCTCCAGGCCCCACACGGTCACCTCGCTCTCCTCGCCCCCGACTCGCACCACCTGGGGCCGCCCGTCCCTGTCCTTGTACTGGACGCTGAAGGAGTCGAAGTGGCCCTGGGGGACGGTCCAGGAGAGGCCCAGCGAGTCCGGGGACGATGCTGTCACCGTCAGCTCCCCCAGGAGGGGCTCCTCGGGGGGCTCTGGGGCCTCCGTGCTGGGCTCTGTGGGGCTGGGGGTCTCGTCCACCTCTGTGGGGGCGGGGGTCTCTTCTTCTGCAGCTGAGAAGGGGAGACAGGAGGTGAGGCAGGGCTCCTGGGACAAGTCCTGGAGTCTTGGGGACAAGGAGGGGGATCTATGGCCACGACTGGGGTCCTGAGGTCACTTCTGAGCAGCCTGTCCTTGGGGCTGGAATCCAGCTCGACTGACAGCTAACAGACACACTCCTGCTCCAGGTCACCCGTGGGGAACCCGGGGCAGCCACCAGCACAGCAGTGCTCCCCACAACCCCTCCCTGCCCAGGAGGGGGCAGAGCTGAACCCCACAGGAAGGCACAAATGGGCCGTGATCACCGCCCAGTCCCCAGCACCGTTCCCCGCTCAGCCATCAGCAAGCAGTAAGTGGCAGAAACTCCCCAAGGTCCCCCTGAGGCTCCCAGCATCCACTCACCCGTCACTCCGACGGCAGACACGGGCCCCACACGCTGGCCCCCGTGGAAGCCATACAGGTTCATCTTGTACTTGTGGTCCGGCTCCAGGCCCGAGATGGTGACGGCGTCCTCAGTGCCCCGGCACCCGCACTGCCTTGGGCTGCCCGTCCCCGTTCTTGTACTGGACCAGGAAGTGGTCAAAGTGGCCCTCGGGGACCGTCCAGGACAGGCTCAGGGAGTTGGGGGTGGCGTCTGTCACGGCCAGCTGCCCCAGGCGCGGCTTGGTGGGGGGCTCAGGGGTGGTGGTGGGAGGGGCCTGAATGGTCACAGCTTCAGCCTCCGGAGCTGGACATGGAGACAATCAGGCTCTCAGCAGACTGGTGCATCATGGGACAGCAAGCTGGGCAGAATGCCACGGCCCTGTGCTCCCACACACCTCCCTCCACCCCTTCCCTGTCACCCTTCCTAGGCCCTCATCCTGACTGCCCTGCGCTGGCCCACACCCAGCACTCACGTGAGGGCTCCTGGCTTCCAGCTCCTACCTCAGTCTCCAAGGCAGGCAGTATGTGGACCCGGCCCTCCCCAGCCGCCCACTCAGAGCAGGTCCCACACTCCTTCCCAGTCCTGGGCCTCCCTCCCAGCCCTGCAGCCCCATGGCCTCTCCCTGCAGGCTCCCTCTCTCCCGCTCTCCCCATAGCTCCCAGCGCAGGGCTGAGCTCTGTGCAGGTGCCTCTGATGGGGCCACTGCTCACATTGGAGACTCTGTCAGGAGCCCTTCCTTGGGCAGCCTGGCTAGGACATCCCTCCCCCAACCTGGCCTGGTCCCCAGACTGCTCATCCTCTCCCACTCTCTTACTTGCTCGGTTTCTGCCTGGCCCATGCTGGATTATGCATCAACACTGTGAACTTGTGGGCATTGCTCTCCCAGCTTCTGCCCGGGGAACAGGGACAGCAGCCCTGAGATGGGGGAACCTGCCCAGTCCTCTCTGCAAGGCCCTGGCTGCCGGAGCTGGCCTGGCACAGCACAGCGCGGTCTTGGTGTGGCCTGGTGAGCTCAGGCAATTTCATGGAACAGAAACATCGGTCAGGGCCACCTGTCACCGTGATGGATGGAGACAGACCCGGCCTGCCTGTAGCTGTGTTGGGTTGTGTAGGCAGACTTGAACGTTTTCCAAACCACAGAAATAACCAAAAACGATCCATCCAGTAACCTGAGTGATGGCTGCGTCTTTACCAATTACGGCTGCAACCCCACTCTGGAGACCTCCCCGTGGACAGCACTGGGGAGACACCTGGTAGGGGGGTTCCTCTCCCTTCAGCTTCACCACTCACTCAAAGGTTGCTGCATGAGCCAGCAGCAGCCACATCACGTGGCGCTCATTGGAAAAGCAGAGTGTCGGGCTCTGGCCCAAACCTGCTGGATGCGAGCCTCCCTTTCAACAGATCCTCAGGCATCGGCTTTGCCAAGCCAGCACCGCTGCGAGAGCACTTCTCCTTTCACGATGTTGATGGAGAAGGAACAACTTGCCAAGGCCTGACTTCCCCGTCTACGCCATTCCTACCCCATGCCACAGCCACTCACCGGTCACGCCCACGGTGGACACAGGACCCACGCGCCGGCCCTCGTGCAGGCCGTACAGGTGCATCTTGTACTTGCGCCCCGGCTCCAGGCCCCACACGGTCACCTCGCTCTCCTCGCCCCCGACTCGCACCACTTGGGGCCGCCCGTCCCTGTCCTTGTACTGGACGCTGAAGGAGTCGAAGTGGCCCTGGGGGACGGTCCAGGAGAGGCCCAGCGAGTCCGGGGACGATGCTGTCACCGTCAGCTCCCCAAGGAAGGGGCTCCTCGGGGGGCTCTGGGGCCTCCGTGCTGGGCTCTGTGGGGCTGGGGGTCTCATCCACCACCTCCTGCATGGCTGAGAGAAGAGACGGGGGACACCAGCTTGGCTGATGCGGTTGGCAGGGAGACAGTGACATGCATCCAGCAAGTGTACTCCTCCAGTGTGGGCTTAGGGGCTCGAGTGGCCGTTAGGAGTAACCCCAGGGTCATGCACAGACGAGAGAGGGCTGGCAGCCCCTGTCCCGTCGCCCTGGAGGCACTGCACTCCTGCAAACCTCAGCAGGCAACTGGGACATACGTGTCGGAGCCCAAATAATGTGCTCATTTCCTCTGATCCAGTAATCCCACTTCTGGGCGCCTATCCTAAGAAAATTATTAAGAGCAGGAAAAAGTTATAGCATGGAAGAACTCATTAAGGGATTATTCCTGACAGCAAAATGTGTCAGGAACCCAAACGACCCGTGGAAGGCGAGGCATTTTGCCACAGCGTTTTTGCCACCAACCATCAAATGACCAGGAAGACGATGATGAGTCAGCTTGTGTAGCCACAAGGTGAACGATCATGGCGCAACTGTCCTACGAGAGCGGGCGCCAAGCATTACACGAAGGAGACCAGAGCAGGAGCTGCAGGTAGATGTTCAAAGTGAACATGCTACGCCTACTGCTGTGAGGGGCGTTTATTAGGTCACAGGGTGGGGTGAGGAATTTTTTTGTGTATTTTTCAAACTTTCCATAATGTTGCTCTATTCTCACTAGAGAAATGTGGCTTTAACAGGAAACTGTGGACTATAAAAGTTAATCAGCATGGAGTTTGGCTTAGTGTTTAAGATGCCGGTTAAGGTGCCCACTGCAGAGTCAGCTCAGCGCCTGCTCGGGCTTCGGACTCCAGCTTCCTGCTGGTGCTGAGCCCGGGGTGCAGGCGCCAGCCTCCAGGGACTGGGCCCCGTCCACCCACACGGGAGGCCTGGATCGAGTTCCTGGCTCTCACCTCTGGCCATCGCAGGCCTCTGGGGGAGTGAGCCGGTAGATGGGTGTGCTCTCTGTTTGCCTGTCTGTCCCCTTTTCTGTCTCTCAAATCAATTTTGAAGAAATTAACAATTGAGTGTGCAAGGGGTGGGCAGTGGAGCAGGAAGGGCAAGGGTCACAGCCCCTTCCAGGCACTCTGCCGGCCAGGGATCCGAAGAGCCAACCTGGCAATGGCTGTGAAGCGACAGCTCACCCCGGGCTCTGAACCCTTCCAGCCAGTCTCCTATCCTCTCTGTTCCCCAAAACACAGGGGTCTGCTGGGTCCACCCACAGAAGTGCAGTCACGGAGGGAGTCGGTGTGGGAGCGGTCTCTGCTGGGGCGGGGAGTGTGGGTGCGAGGCCAGCCCAGCTCTCGCGGGGCACATTCTCCTCGGCCTGCAGAAACCCGTGAGAAATGCTCACCAGGCACAAGACCCTGCCTGGGGATGACGCGGAAAAGGCAGCCCAGCCGCACTGCTGGAATTGAATCCGCCTCGTGATCTCTCCCCCCGCGACTTGTGGACTAGGCATTTTGACTTTCTCGTATTTGGAGGTGAAGTTAAGTTGCAAGTGTGACAAGGGAGAAAATAGATGGAGAGTAAGGAACAGAAGACATTATATTTTTTCCTAATTATCAAAGAAACCCTTGCCGCTTAAGACAATGTGGACGAAGCAGAGCAGAATAAAAGAAGGGAAATCACTGTGCTGGAACATTCTATTCTGTTTAACAAAGCACGAACCCGCGGGGTGTGTTTCTTCCCAGCCTGCTTGTCATGCCTGTTATTGTCAAATGGTTGTGATTAGCACCCTTATGAAAATTCTGGGCTCTGTTATTTTTTTCAATGTAACATTGCAAAGTCATTGTCTGAAGTTAAAATACTTCAATGGTGGCATAATAGCTCATTTTATAAATGTTGCCTAAATTATTTAGTCATCACAATGTGGTTTGATGTAGGGTTGTTTCTTCTGTGTGCGTGTCTGTATGTGGCCGGAACAAAGACTTATGCGATTAAGATGGAAGAAAAGGAAAATTCTTGTAGGGCAGGCTTGGCTGTGCCTGGATATTTCACCTCGGAGGTGGCTAGGAGCTGACCATCAGAAGGAGACAACAGCAGAGCACACAGTGAGGCTGCGGAAAGGCAAAGGACAAACCACTAGGCCTGGGCCATGGTGGGAGGCCATGGAGGAGGGGCAGGGGACAGGAGCCAAGACCCAGACCTATAGGAGCTGGTGAGAGAGAACAGCTGTCAACCAGGCACACAAGGGGGAAAGGGAGCCGCTCCAGAAGGCCTGGAGCCCTACTCACCGGTCACGCCCACGGTGGACACGGGGCCCACGCGCCGGCCCTCGTGGAAGCCATACAGGTGCATCTTGTACTTGCGCCCCGGCTCCAGGCCCCACACGGTCACCTCGCTCTCCTCGCCCCCGACTCGTACCACCTGGGGCCGCCCGTCCCTGTCCTTGTACTGGATGCTGAAGGAGTCGAAGTGGCCCTGGGGGACGGTCCAGGAGAGGCCCAGCGAGTCCGGGGACGATGCTGTCACCGTCAGCTCCCCCAGGAGGGGCTCCTCGGGGGGCTCTGGGGCCTCCGTGCTGGGCTCTGTGGGGGTGGGGGTCTCGTCCACCTCTGTGGGGGCGGGGGTTTCTTCCTCTGCAGCTGAGAAGGGGAGACAGGGAGGTGAGGCAGGGCTCCTGGGACAAGTCCTTGAATCTTGGGGACAGGAGAGGGAGCCACGGCCATGACTGGGGTCCTGAGGTCACTTCCGAGCAGCCCGTCCTTGGGTTGGGGTCCAGCTTGGCTGACAGCTAGCAGACACGCCCAAGTCCAAGGTCAGTTGTGGGGAATCTGGGGCAGCACAGCCCCTCCCTGTCCAGGAGGGGACAGAGCTGAACCACACAGGAAGGCACAAATGGGCCAGGGCCACAGGCACAGCAGGGCCGTGGTCACCACCCAGGCCCCAGCAAGGTTCCCCGCTCAGCTGACAGCAAATAGCAAGAGGCCAAGCCTCCCCATGGCCCACCCGGGGCTCCCAGCATCCACTCACCCGTCACCCCGACAGCAGACACGGGCCCCACACGCTGGCCCCCGTGGAAGCCATACAGGTTCATCTTGTACTTGTGGTCCGGCTCCAGGCCCGAGATGGTGACAGCGTCCTCGTGCCCCGGCACCCGCACCGCCTTGGGCTGCCCATCCCCGTTCTTGTACTGGACCAGGAAGTGGTCAAAGTGGCCCTCGGGGACCGTCCAGGACAGACTCAGGGAGTCGGGGGTGGCGTCTGTCACGGCCAGCTGCCCAGGCGCGGCTTGGTGGGGGCTCGGGGGTGGTGGGGGCAGGTTCTGTTGGGGCTGCGGCTGTATCAGGAGACAGAGACAGGTGGGCGTGCCTGTCAGCTTCCTTCCAGCCATGGGATTCTGGATTCTCTTTAGACATACCAGTGCATGGCAGCCTGGATGCCAGTGGCCCAGGGTTGAGTGTCGCTGGACGGGAGGTGGGACTGCACGAGGCCTGGTGTGCATGGGCACTGAGCCCTCAGCTGCTGCTGGGTGGATTTACACAGGGACTTGCCCGCAACCCCACCCACACGGCGGTGAGGTCCACCGGGAGGCAAGTCACTGGGGACGGGAACCCACTTCACCAGTGCCTTCCCTCAATACCTTTCAGTTTTAGAGCGCTTCCCTGGGCGTTTTTAGAAACCAATTCAGATTTCACAGCTGAGGCCCTGTGTGCTGAGACCGCACGCAGACATTCTTGCAATCGGGGGTCTGGGACCGTCAGCTGTTCTCGCAGCTCTGCCCGCCCCTAGTGTTGCCAGCTCTTTTGACCTTTGTGAAATCATGCGCTTTGCTGTCACTGATTCCTCTGGTCTTTGTGCTCCTCAGAGGGTTTTATTCTGCTTGGATGGGTGAATTGTAGAATGCCTACATTTCTGTTTCTGTTTGGGACTAAGCCTTAGGCCTCTAGGGTGTGACAGCTACAAAAACTCATCAAAAGCATCACAAAGCTGAATCCCGAGTAATCAATCAAAGGAAAACACCTTGTTAGGTTGTGCATAGGACCAAGGTTAACTATTAAACGAACAGTCCAAAGCAACAGGATTTGGCATTATTTTAACATAGATATATTAGGGCCAGCACTGTGGCATAGTAGGTTAAGCCTCCACCTGTGGTGCCAGCATCTCACATGGGCGCTGGTTCAAGTCCCAGTTGCTCCACTTCCGATCCAGCTCTTTGCTGTGGCCTGGGATAGCAGTGGAGGATGGCCCAAGTGCTTGGGCCCATGCACCTGCATGGGAGACCTGGAAGAAGCTCCGGGCTCCTGGCTTCAGATCAGCGCAGCTCCAGCCATTGTGGCCAATTGGGGAGCGAACCAGTGGATGGAAGGCCTCTCTCTCTGTCTCTACCTCTCTCTGTAACTCTGTCTTTCAAATAAATAAATAAATAAATCTTTTTTTTTTTTAATAAAGGTATCAGTTTGGGTGTTTGGGGAACACGTACACTTTTCACAAACTACCTACCTTCCTCAGAGAGGAAGCTGTGTGTGAGCCCAGGCACACTTAGGCAACTGTCTTTAAGACAGGTGTGGGGAGGCCCAGAGAGGGTAAGTGACTCGCTGCAGGTCACACAGCTTGAGTGGCTGAGGCTTTGATCATCCCCATGGGTACTGGGTCTATGTTGTTCCCCTGGTGCGCTGCCTCATCAGGGACCCCAGAGCCCAGGTGTAAGGGGTAAGTGGGCTGGGGAGACACCAAAGGTGTAGAGTGAATACCGGACAGCAGCATTTTCAGGAGCTCGGAGGCTCGGTCTCAGCGAAAGCGGATGAAGACATCTGAATACTGACAGGAAAGGAAAGTGAGCCCCAGCTGGGGCAGAGCCCGGCGCCCACGCACACTCACCTGTTAAACCAACAGCAGACACGGGCCCCACACGCTGGCCCCCGTGGAAGCCGTACAAGTTCATCCTGTACTTGCGCCCCGGCTCCAGGCCCAAGATGGTGACGGCGTCCTCATGCCCCGGCACCCGCACCACCTGGGGCCGCCCGTCCCTGTCCTTGTACTGGATGCTGAAGGAGTCGAAGTGGCCCTGGGGGACGGTCCAGGAGAGGCCCAGCGAGTCCGGGGACGATGCTGTCACCGTCAGCTCCCCCAGGAGGGGCTCTTCGGGGGGCTCTGGGGCCTCCGTGCTGGGCTCTGTGGGGCTGGGGGTCTCGTCCACCTCTGTGGGGGCGGGGGTCTCTTCTTCTGCAGCTGAGAAGGGGAGACAGGGAGGTGAGGCAGGGCTCCTGGGACATGTCCTGGAGTCTTGGGGACAAGGAGAGGGAGCCACGGCCACGACTGGGGTCCTGAGGTCACCTCTGAGCAGCCCGTCCTTGGGTTGGGGTCCAGCTTGGCTGACAGCTAACAGACACACTCCCGCTCTAGCTCACCAGCCCAGCAGTGCTCCCCAAAACCCCTCCCTGTCCAGGAAGGGACAGAGCTGAACCACACAGGAAAGCACAAAGGAGCCAGGGCCACAGCAGGGCCGTGGTCACCACCCAGGCCCAAGCACTGTTCCTCGCTCAGCCAATAGCTGAGCTGTCGGCAAACAGCAAGAGGCCGAACCTCCTCCAGACTAACCCCCGTCCACTCCCAGCATCCACTCACCCGTCACCCCGACAGCAGACACGGGCCCCACACGCTGGCCCCCGTGGAAGCCATACAGGTTCATCTTGTACTTGTGGTCCGGCTCCAGGCCCGAGATGGTGATGGCGTCCTCATGCCCCGGCACCCGCACCGCCTTGGGCTGCCCGTCCCCGTTCTTGTACTGGACCAGGAAGTGGTCAAAGTGGCCCTCGGGGACCGTCCAGGACAGGCTCAGGGAGTCGGGGGTGGCGTCTGTTACTGTCATCTCTCCAAGACGTGGCTTTGGGAGGTGGACAACGGGAGGCTCCTCCTCAGAGGCTGGAAGAGACACAACAGAATCCTTCCTGTTGCTGTAAGGAACCGGCGCCGCAGCTCACTAGGCTAATCCTCCGCCTGCGGCGCTGGCACCCTGGTTTCTAGTCCCCGTTGGGGCACCAGATTCTGTCCTGGTTGCTCCTCTCGCAGTCCAGCTCTCTGCTGTGAGCCAGGAAGGCAGTGGAGGATGGCTCAAGTGCTTGGGCCCTGCACCCACATGGGAGACCAGGAGAAGCACCTGGCTCCTGGCTTTGGATCGGTGCAGCGTGCTGGCCGTAGCAGCCATTTGGGGGGTGAACCAATGGAAGGAAGACCTTTCTCTCTGTCTCTCTCACTGTCTAACTATATATATGGCAGTACAGTAGCATCCATTTAGTAGAATACGGCTGGGGAATGCAAAGCAAAGAAGGTGCAGACATTTGGCATAGCAGTTAAGCCGCAGCCTGGGACAACTGCATCTCATATCAGAGCCCCTGGTTTGAGTTCCAGCTGCTCTGCTTCTGATCCAGCTTCCTGCGAAGATGCACCCTGGGAGGCAGCAAATGATGACCCAAGTACTTGGGTCTCTGCAGCTACATGGAGACCTGGATGCAGTTCTAGGCTGCTGGTTTCAGCCTGTCCCAGCCTCGGCCATTGCAGGCATTTGTGGAGTGAACCAGCAGATGGAAGATCTGTCTCTCTGCCTTTCAAATAAAATGAAAATGAATGCATTTTGAAAAGTGCAAAACTATGAAGTACTGCACATGGTGCAACACGGATAAACCACAGAGATTGTGCTTGGTGAGAGAAGCCACACAGCAAACACAGGTGGTATATGCCTGCATGGGTACAGAAGGCAGATTCATGGTGCACCATGAATGCTCTGGGCTTTTTGGGGTGGTAAAAGGGTCTGAAGATAGATTGGGATGATGTTTGCACTACTAGGTAAGTATACTTAAGTCAATAAGTTGCATACTTAACAGGTGAATTGCCATAGAAATGCCAGCTTGGGGCTAGCACTGTGGCATAGCAGATAAAGCCACCAATGCAGTACCAGCATCCCATATGGGTGCCGGTTTGAGTCCCGGCTGCTCTACTTCCGATCCAACTCTGTGCTATGGCCTGGGAAAGCAATGGAAGATGGCCCAAGTCTTTGGGCCCCTGCACCTGCATGGGAGACCTGGAGGAAGCTCCTGGCCCCGGCTTCGGATCAGCCCAGCTCCGACTGTTGCAGCCAACTGGGGAATGAACCAGCAGATAGAAGACTCCCCATCTGGGCCTTTCAAATATATAAATAAATCTTTTTAAAAATGCCAGCTCAGTAAGTCTGATCATAAACTAACATTCTATAAGGGAGCCCGGCGCCCAGGAGCAGGTGTTGAAGGCGGTGGTCTTCATGTGAACCCTTCTCTTTCCATGTGTGGTTGAAATGTTATTGAATAAAGATGTGCTTAATTAACTATTATTTCATAGAGTTTGTCCCAATCCCGTGAGAAGAGGTTGTTCCCAGGACAACCAGTGAGTGAATGGTGAATTCAGAGGCTGTGGGCCCAGGGCCTGTCCCATGTGGCTCTGAGACAGACTCCTCTGGGATTTGCTCCCTCTGCCCCCAGAACACTTGTCCTGAGGAGTTATGGGCAGGGGTGGCTTAGAGGTTGGCGGCTTTGGGATTTGAGGTATCCAGGAAAACAGGCATTGGAGGCTCTACTTTCCTGAGGTCCAACCCAAAAGACCCTTAGTACTCACTCACCGGTCACACCCACGGTGGACACGGGGCCCACGCGCCGGCCCTCGTGCAGGCCGTACAGGTGCATCTTGTACTTGCGCCCGGCTCCAGGCCCCACACAGGTCACCTCGCTCTCCTCGCCCCCGACTCGCACCACCTGGGGCCGCCCGTCCCTGTCCTTGTACTGGATGCTGAAGGAGTCGAAGTGGCCCTGGGGGACGGTCCAGGAGAGGCCCAGCGAGTCCGGGGACGATGCTGTCACCAGTCAGCTCCCCCAGGAGGGGCTCCTCGGGGGGCTCTGGGGCCTCCGTGCTGGGCTCTGTGGGGCTGGGGGTCTCAGTCCACCTCTGTGGGGGCGGGGGTCTCTTCTGCAGCTGAGAAGGGGAGACAGGAGGTGAGGACAGGGCTCCTGGGATAAGTCCTGGAGTCTTGGGGACAGGAGAGGGAGCCACGGCCACGACTGGGGTTCTGAGGTCACTTCCGAGCAGCCCGTCCTTGGGTTGGGGTCCAGCTTGGCTGACAGCTAACAGACACGCCCAAGTCCAAGGTCAGTTGTAGGGAATCTGGGGCAGCACAGCCCTTCCCTGCCCAGGAGGGGGCAGAGCTGAACCCCACAGGAAGGCATAACAGGGCCAAGGCCACAGCCACAGCAGGGCCGTGGTCACCGCCCAGTCCCCAGCACCATTCCCCGCTCAGCCATCAGCAAGCAGCAAGAGGCAGAAACTCCTCAAGGTCCCCCTGAGGCTCCCAGCGTCCACTCACCCGTCACCCCGACGGCAGACACGGGCCCCATGCGCTGGCCCCCGTGGAAGCCATACAGGTTCATCTTGTACTTGTGGTCTGGCTCCAGGCCCGAGATAGTGACGGCGTCCTCGTGCCCCGGCACCCGCACCGCCTTGGGCTGCCCGTCCCCGTTCTTGTACTGGACCAGGAAGTGGTCAAAGTGGCCCTCGGGGACTGTCCAGGACAGGCTCAGGGAGTCGGGGGTGGCGTCTGTCACAGCCAGCTGCCCCAGGCGCGGCTTGGTGGGGGGAGGTTCTGAAGGCTGATCCTCCTCCTCGGGTGCGGCTGGACGGAGGACATGGGGAAAGATTTGAGAGGGGCCTGAGGTTCACAGGGGACCTTGCTCCCCTCTGCATCCTCCCCCCCCCCCCCCCGTCCCGAAGGAAGCAGAGGTATTCCTCGCACTCACCCGTCAGGGCCTCGGTGTGGGCAGGACCCACACGCTGCCCGTCCCGGAAACCATAGAGGGTCACCAGGTATCGGTGGTCAGATTCCAGGCCAGACAGCGTGATGTCGCTTCGGTCACCCCCTAGGGTGGCCACTTGGAGACGCCCATGTTCATCTGTGTACCGGACCTCGAAGGAGTCTAACTCCCCCTGGGTCACCACCCAGGAGAGACGCAGGCTGTGTTGCGTGGCCTCCTCCACTTTCAGCTCCCCAAGGCGGGGCTCAGACACTGGAGGTGTCGGGGCCTCGGCTTCTGCTTCCGCTTCATCCCTGGGAGCTGGTCAGAGAGACACGGGAGATGAGTGACGGGTCTGTGGCCGCCCTGGGACGCTCAGGAGGAGGGCAAGAGGTGAGGGTCAGGGGCCCTCACCAAGTAAAGGACCTACTTTTGCTGCATGTGGATGGATTTTGAAAGCACAAGGGGCCAAACACAAGAGACTTTCAGACAAGGGGACTTCAAAAGTGTGTAGAAATGGAATGGAAAGATAAGTGTATGTTGGTGCAAGAAATTCTGAGATCCATGCATAGCTTTTTCATAATATGCATTTCCACGGACTTTTAAAAGACCCAGGTATCGTATGATTCTGTGAAATGAAATCAGGCAATCAAACCTGTAAGCAAGCAGATCAGCGGCTGCGGAGGCTGGGCTGGGGGAGGGTTTATATCTCAGCTGAGCAATGGTTTTTGACTCACGCATTTGCCAAAAGGCTGGAATTATTCTAAGGGGGCCTCCTACTGTATGTAAATTATGCCCCAATAAAGCTGATCCCCCCAGAAGTCATGGAGATGAGAAAGCCCCACAAGACCTCGGGGCTCAGTCAGGTCGGGAGAGGCAGCGGGGAGGGAGGCACGGGGTCTCTGGGCTGCCGCCCCGCTCACCGGTCACGGCGATGGCGGAGATGGGCCCCACACGCCTGCTGTCGCTCAGCCCGTAGAGTAGCAGCTTGTACCTGTGGGCTGGCTCCAGGCCCGAGACGCTGACCTCCCTGAGGCTGCCCTCCACGGGTACCACCTGCGGCTGTCCAGCCCCGTCCTTGTACTGGACCACGAAGGAGTCAAATTGGCCCTCGGGCACCGTCCACGAGAGGCCCACGGAGTCCGGGCCCACGCCGGTCACCTGCAGCTCCTCCCCCAGACGCGGTTTTGGCGGGCGCTTCGTTCCGGTATCCTCCACAGCACGCAGGGTCTCTGAGACGGGACACGGAAGGGAAGTGGCTGAGCTGTTTCTGGAAGGCTGGGCGACCTTGCAGGACAGGAAGGGCTTGTACGGCCGAGGCCAGCTGGGCTTGTGCAAGCACGCGGGGAACTGGGTCTCAGCCAGAGCGGCTGGGGTCAGCAGCGGCACCTGCTGCGAGGGGCTGCCCTCACCTGTGGTGCCGTCAGCGGAGAGGGGGCCGTGGCGCTTCTTGCCCGCGAGGCCGTAGAGGAGGAACTTGTACTTGCGGCCGGCGTCCAGAGGGCTCACGGTGACAGAGTGCAAGTGGCCCTCCACAGGCACCACCCGGGGCCCGTCCTTGTCCTTGAACTGGACCACGAAAGAGTCGAAGCGGCCCTCGGGGACCGTCCAGGAGAGGCGCAGTGAGTCTGGGGTGGGGTCCGTCACCCACAGCTCCCCAAGGCGGGGTGGGGCCCCTGGGCTGGCGTCACCCCGGGCGGCTGACAGAGAGAAAGGGCTTTTGTGTTTATTTTTCCTAAATGACTCCCTGACAGCCTCCCACTGGGGATGGAAAAACCAGAGGAGCTCAGACGGTCGGGGCTTGCCTGAAGTGTTTCCATCTCCCGCCCCCCCCCCCCCATTCTCCACCACCCTCTCCAGCTGGCTGCGCAGCTCCCCACTGCAACAGTGTGGGGAGAGGTCTCTGTCCCAGGTCACTCCCTCACTTCCCTCCCATCTTATCCCTCTGTTTCCACGGGGGCGGGATGCTGCTTATCCCAGGCCTGGCCCCTGGGGAAGCCCGAGGGGGTTATGGGGTCTGAGGGGGCAGGCAGCAGAGGGGGTGCACTTTGCTTCTCTTTCTCATTCTACCCTGGCCAGGCCCCATAGCAGCTGAGACCTGCACAGGGCCTGGTGGAGGAGTTGGGGCTGCCTGTGCCCACGTTGGGGGTGCGGGAAATAGAGAGTGATGTGGAGGGAGCTCAGATGGAGAAAGGATCTGGTGTGTGCCCAAGGAGCTGCCCCGGGGCCTGGGAAGGAGCTGGCCTGCTGTCTTCCAGGGCAGCCAAGACGCTGACGGCATGTTACTGCGAGAGTTTTCTGGCAACAGGGGGTCCCCAGGGGGAAGGGAGCCGGGGTGGGGGGAGCGGGTGCTGTGCTGAACCCCAGGAAAGGGGCATGGCCAGATTGGGGTCCTCTGGTCCCCAGTTTCTGAGGCTGCAGGAGGAGAGGAGAGGAGGGGAGGGGAGGGGAGGGGAGGAAAGTGAGCCCCTGGGGGAGGCAACTGTGGGACCTGAGGGGCCTGCGCCAGGAAGGCAAGAACTGCGTGGGAGTCGGAGAAGAGTTGGCGAAACTCCCAGGAGGTGATGGGCCCACGAGGGCCGGGGAGGCAGGAGGGGCTCCTGGCTTCTCGACCCCAGTCCACAGAAGCCAAAATTAGGAACTAGCCTGTCTCCCAGTCCTCGTCGGGTCCTCGTCAGCTAAGGACCAGGGGGTGTGGGGGGAAGCTGAGGCCTGCGGGGTGGCGGCCCCGGGGGGCCCTCTTACCTGTCCTTGCCTCCGTGGAGACTGAGCTGCGTCGTTTCCCATCCCGGATCCCAAACAGCAGGAACTTGTACTTGCGGGAGGGCTCCAGGCCGGGGACGGTGACCGCCCGCTGGTCTGAGGGCACCGGCACCGCCTGGGGCTGTCCATCCCTGTCCTTGTACTGGACCACGAAGGAGTCAAACTCGCCCTCGGGGACTGTCCATGAGAGGCCCACAGAATCCAGGGTGGCATCTGTCACCGTCAGCTCCCCCAGACGTGGCTCCACGGGGGGCTCTGTGGCCTCTGTGGTGGCTGGGGCTGAGGGGAGGGGATCTGGGTTCCAGGAAGACAAAGAAGGAGGCTGAGCTGTCTTGGGGGGGACCCCGGGGCCCTCACCAGCCTCATGGCACTGGGAGCAGCCACCACTCTATCTTCATGACATCATTGCAACGTGGCATTTCCCGCAGCGGTGGAAATCATGGGTGCCTGCATGCCACCTCGGGGTTACGGCAGAAATATCAGCAGCCCGTCACACTCATCACTGCTTCCAGAAGCAGCGGGTTGTGAAATGAGTCCCCATGGCCTGGTGTTCAATGAGCTGGGACATGAGCTCTGGTACCAGTGATAAATTCAGTCTTTTAGGAAGTACTTAGATAACAGTACTCATACGTCAATAAAATGGGCTCCTGTTATAATCTTACCCATTTATTTTACAGACTTCAAAATACTGCTCTGAGAGGGGCCAGAGGTTTCGCCAGAGGCTGCGGCATAACAGGCACAGAGAACCCACAAAGATGGGGAGGGAGCCGCGAGCAGAGGGAAGGAGGGTCAGGGGTAACCAGGGTTGGGGAGCACTTCAGACCCTCACTCACCTGTCATGGCCACCACAGAGAGGGGGCCCACGTGCTGCCCGCCATGCACCCCGTAGAAGTCCATCTTGTATGTGCTTGCTGGCTCCAGGTTGGGGACCGTGACCTTGAGCTGGTCTGCAGCCACAGGTACCACCTGGGGCTGCCCATCCCTGTCCTCATACTGGACCATGAACGAGTCAAAGTGGCCCTCGGGGACCATCCACGAGAGGCCCACAGAGTTGGAGGTCACGGTCGTCACGGTCAGCTCCCCCAGGCGTGGCTCCAGGGGGGGCTCTGTGGCTGGAGGGGTCTCCTCTTCTTCCTGTGGGGCTGGGACAAAGATGGTAGGAAGGGTTCTGTTAGAAAAGGACCCCATCTTGTGGCCAGTGCTGTGGCGCAGTGGGTTAATGCCCTGGTCTGAAGCGTTGGCATCCCATATGGGCGCCGGTTTGAAACCTGGCGGCTCCACTTCCGATCCAGCTCTCTGCTATGGCCTGGGAAAGCAGCAGTAGATGGCCCAAGTCCTTGGGCCCCTTCCTAGAGGAAGCTTCTGGCTCCTGGCTTCGGATTGGCACAGCTCTGGCCATTGCAGCCAACTGGGGAGTGAACCATCGGATGGAAGACCTCTCTCTCTCTCTCTCTCTCTCTCTCTCTGTAATTCTGACTTTCAAATAAATAAATAAATCTTTAAAAAAAAAAAAAAGGAACCACGAGGTGGTTCTGATACAAACCCACACCGATCAGCTACACCCAGATGTCTGGCTACTCCTTCACCAAGTCCAGGCCAGGGGTCTGAGGTGGTTCTTGCTGGAGGGGGAGGGGTGTGAGCTGTCCCCTGGGAAGTGGCTGGAATTCCATCTGTAGGTCAACCTCTCCGGCCTGTCCGGACCCTTCCCCCGATCCCGACGGCTCAGCAGCTTCCCTGGATGCCGAATGAGCATCTCGAACTCAGTAAGCCCCACACTGAGGTCCTGAGCCTCCCCTGACCCCTCTCCAGCTCCCACTCTTCCAGCTGCTAGGGTCACCCTGTGTCCTCTCTTACACCCCACATCTGTCACCGTGGGGAGTCCTCTTGCCACCACCTCCGGAGTAGGGCACAGCCAGACACTGTTATCACAGCATCTCCCAGGGCTCCTCCTTCCCTCTCAGTCTACAGCCAGAGGGACCCCGCCACCAACCTACAGCCCATCCCTTCAATGGCTTCCATCTCACTCACTGTCAAACCAAGCCTCTGCTGTGGCCCCTGAGGTCCCCGCTGTTGCTCTCGTGTCGTCTGTCCCCTGCTGCCCCCGCTCCCCGCCTCCACCCCACACCACGCTGCACTCCCTGCTGGGGCAGACCCTGAGGCCCCTCTGGCCTTCCAGGTTCTGCATGTACTCCTGCTGCTGCTGCCTGGGACACCGTTCCCCAGACACCCCCATGGCTGTCCTCTCGCCTGCTTGTTCAAGCCTTTCCCCTGGGCTGTGCTTGTCACCGTGCAACCTGCTGCTAGAACGGGAGCCCCCAGGCAGGTTCTGTCTCGCTTACTGCCAAGTCCCAATGACCAGTGTACAGCGCGTGCCCGACAAATGTGTATCTAAATAAATGAGTCGTCTGCAGGCTCTGCTCGGAGAGGCTGCACTCAAGACTGGCCCAGCCCCTCTGCCCTAGAGCCAGCTGTGGCGGGGAGAAAGGTGGCTCTCCTTAGTGACGGACCTGGAAGGGGGTCCCAGGGGTGAAACGGCGGAGGGGTGAGGGCTGGAGGGCTCTCAAAAGCTTGTTCTACCACTGCCACGGGACAGCAAGACTAAGCTCTTACTGTGGGCTGGCAAGCAAGCCTCGGGCAGACAGCAGAGAGTCTGGGTGGGAGGCGAGGGGGGAGGCAGTGCAAGGGGAGGGAGGGCCAGAGCGAGCATGGAGTACGGAACCCCTCTGCGTGCAGGTGCCGGGCAGGCGTGACTTTCGTGCCATTTGCCCGCTGACCTTATTCCGTCCTGCAGCCTCCACTCTCTGCTTGCTTTTGCCCTCTCTGTACTTCTTCCCACCAGGGAGAGGCACTGTCCCTCCCCAGGAAGCCCGATTGTGGTACGAATGGGAAGAGGCGAGGCGATGACAGTCCCCGCGCTGCCTCTGGGCTGGTCTTTCCCATTCAGAAGTGTTTCTAACCAGCACCTACGCATTTCCCCGCCTGGCGCCGGCACAGCGCGTACCGTGTGCCAGGCACACACAGCTCAGCCTGCCAGCAGGCTCCAGCTGCTTCACCTTCTCGCCCGATAATGAACATCAGTGCTCATTCCTTTCTTAAAGGGCCACTACCATTTTATCCAAAGCATGTACAACATGAGGCGTATGAAGTGCAGGGTTTGGTGCCCCAGCTTGCTTTGCGCTTGGGGGACCCACGTCTCCTATGGGAGTGCTTGCTTTGAGCTGGCTGCTCTGCTTCCCACCCAGCTTTCTGCTGGTGCACACCCTGGGAGGCAGCAGGTGCTGGCTCAAGTACTTGGGTCCTTGCCACCCATGTGGGAGACCTGGATAGAGTTCCTGGCTCCTGGCTTCAGCCTGGCCCAGGCCTGGCTGTTGTGGTCATTTAGGGAGTGAATGAGTGAACCAGCAGATGGAAGATCTCTCTCTCTCTCTGTCAGTCTCTGCCTTTCAAATAAAGCAAAATAAAAATCATTTAAAAACCTATATAGGGGCCAGCATTATGGTATAAGCAGGATATGCCACCACCTGCAACACCAGCATCTCATATAAGTACTGATTTGAGTCCTAGCTGCTCTACTTCTGGTCTAGCCCCCTGCTAAGGGCCTGGGAAGTGGCAGAAGATGGCCCAAGTGCTTGGGCCCCTGCACCCACCTGAGAGACCTGGATGGAGCTCCTGGCTCCTGGCTTCACTCTGGCCCAGCTTGGTCGTTGTGGCCATTTGGGGGAGAGAGAATCAGTGTATGAAGATGTCTCTCTCCCCCCCCCCCCACACCTCTATAACTCTGCCTTTCAAATAAAAAAATAAGGGGCCAGTGCTGTGCTATAGCGGGTTAAGCTGCCGCCTGTAGTGCCAGCATCCCATTTGGGCCCCAGTTTGAGTCCCTTTCTCTCTCTGTCTCTCTCTTGCTGTAAATCTTTCAAATAAGTAAATGCATCTTTAAAATAAATTTTAAGAAAACTTAAAAATATACAGATCTAAAAAATGCAAGGGGTATTCAAAAAGTTCATGGAAAGTGAATATTATGAAAAAACTACATATGGATTAAAAAAACCTTTTTGATCCCAAATAAGCTTAACTTATCATTCCATTTTCCATAAACTTTCTGAAGTATACATATTTAGAATTTGGGTATATTTCTTTCTTTCTTTTTTCTTTTTTTTGACAGGCAGAGTGGACAGTGAGAAAGAGAGAGAGAGAGAGAGAGACAGAGAGAAAAGTCTTCCTTTTGCCGTTGGTTCACCCTTCAATGGCCCGCCGCGGCCGGCGCACTGTGGCCGGCGCACCGTGCTGATTCGAAGGCAGGAGTCAGGTGCTTCTCCTGGTCTCCCATGGGGTGCACGGCCCAAGCACCTGGGCCATCCTCCACTGCACTCCAGGCCATAGCAGAGAGCTGGCCTGGAAGAGGGGCAACCGGAACAGAATCTGGCACCCCGACCAGGACTAGAACCCGGTGTGCCTAGTGAGCCGCGGCACCGGCTCAAATTTGGGTATATTTCAAAGCCTCTAGAATTAGAATGCAGACATAAGGCTTTCTCCTCAGAGGGTCTGAACAAAAGTGGAGTGAGTGGAGAACATGACAGCTTGACCTCTGACCCTCAGGGCAGGTGCACAGCATTCGATCTGCCTTGCAAGTGAGAGAGCAGAGGTTCCAGGAGCTGAGTTTCTCAAGCTGGCACAGCTAAGGACTGGGGAAGCCAGGAATGGGGCTCTGGCTATCAGACTCCAATTCTCAAGTTTCCCTTGACCGCACCACGCAGCCAGCACTGAGCCCAGCCTTACCCCTGGGACCTCCCAGCGCCCGGCGTGGCTGCCCGGGAGAGCCGGACAGTGGCAGCACGCTCTGGGCTGGGCATGAGCCTCCCTGCTGCCTCTGGCCCGGAGCAGGGCAGCTCCGGGTGATTCTCCCTGTCCCCTCCTCTCAGTGCTGTGTGAGGCAAAGACAAGAAACTGGGAGAGGAATGTTCTAGAAACAAGGCTGAGCTTTGTGAAAGTACAGAAGCCATGCTCTGGAAACCCGGTTCTCCACCAAGTTTCTAACCTGTTCCCCTGTAGTGGAGTTGTTTTTGAAAAAGATGGGTCTTTGTTTCAGCGAGCAAAGGGACAAAGAGTCGCTGTCCATTACTGTGGCCTGGCCCTGCAGGGCGGCGGGGCTCCCAGAGGCACTGCCGCCCACTCAGCCCCTGGGGCTGTGAGGCTGTGGTGAGGAGGTGCAGGCTGGGTCCTTTGGGGGTGGCCTGTAACCCGCCCGAGAGAGGGCAGAGGGTTGTTCTTTGCTCATCCCTTGATGAGCGTTTGCATTTGGAAGAGGCCAATGTCTCGTGCGTGTCCTGCGCAGCCTAGAAGCTGAGCCCGCCGCGGGGACGACGCGGAACGAAGGCAGGCGATCTCAGCAATCACAGGCTGCAGCAGCTCTGCGTGCGTGCTTGCTGTGAGCCGGCCACGCTCAGCGCTCTACATCCGCTAACCCGCCGAACCTGCCGAGAGCACTGTGAGGCAGGTGTACCTCCGCTTTACAGTCAAGAAAACAGGCTGGGGAGCCGACGCCGTGGCGCAGTAGGTTAATCCTCCACTTGCAGTGCTGGCATCCCGTATGGGTGCCGGTTCTAGTTCCAGCTGCCCCTCTTGCAATCCAGCTCTCTGCTGTGGCCTGGGAAAGCAGCAGAAGATGGCCCAAGTGCTTGGGCCCCTGCACCCGCATGGCAGACCAGGAAGAAATGCCTGGCTCCCGGATTTGGATCAGCCCAGCTCCGGCCGTTGTGGCCATCTGGAGAGTGAACCAACGGAAGGAAGACCTTTCTCTCTGTCTCTCCCTTTCACTGTCTGTAACTCTACCTCTCAAATAAATAAAAATCTTTAAAAAGAAAGAAAACAGGTTGTAGCCCGGGCCCTGCCCCTCTGCTGTTTGCAGGTCCTCCCCAGGCAGGTAGGAAACACGACTACACTGGGACAAGCTGGGGGCCAACAGTGGGAGGGCAGCAACCCAGGCCCCTACCCCTCACTCACCGGTCACGCCCACGGTGGACACGGGGCCCACGCGCCGGCCCTCGTGCAGGCCATACAGGTGCATCTTGTACTTGCGTCCCGGCTCCAGGCCCCACACGGTCACCTCGCTCTCCTCGCCCCCGACTCGCACCACTTGGGGCCGCCCGTCCCTGTCCTTGTACTGGACGCTGAAGGAGTCGAAGTGGCCCTGGGGGACAGTCCAGGAGAGGCCCAGCGAGTCCGGGGACGATGCTGTCACTGTTAGTTCCCCCAGGAGGGGCTCCTCGGGGGGCTCTGGGGCCTCCGTGCTGGGCTCTGTGGGGCTGGGGGTCTCGTCCACCACCTCCTGCGTGGCTGAGGGAAGAGAGGGGGACAGAGGCTGTAGGGGTGACCGGCTTGGCTGAGGTAGTCGGGAAGGACAGTGATGTGCACCCAGGGGTCAGCATTTGGTGGAGGGATTAAAATGCCACTTGGGATGCCCGCATCCTGTATCAGAGGGCCTGGGTTCGTGTCCTGACTTCACTGCTGACTCCACAGCTTGGAAGCAGCAGCAATGGCTCAAGCACTTGGGTCCCTCGTCATCCACATAGGAGACCTGGATGGAGTTGCAGTCTCCTGGCTTTGGCTTGGCCCAGCCCCAACTGTTGTGGGCATCTAGGGGGAGTGAAATAACAGACAGAAGCTTTATCTGTCTCCGTCTCAGCATCTCTCTTGCTTTCATATAGAATGCAAATAATCAATAAAAATTAAAAAAATTGTGAAGTGTATCCAGCTGATGAATTCTTCAAGTGTGGGTTTAGCAGGGGCAGGGGGAGCACACGGCCACTCAAAGTCACTTGGTCTGTCCCTGCCAAGGCAACCACAGGTGGGACTCGAAATTCTCCGACTCTATGGCAGGCTCATTTTTAAGTTGCTAACTTTGTATGGCCCACGAGTGACACTATAAATATCCAAATGGCCCTTGGCAAAAAAAAAAAAAAAAAAAAAAAAAGGGTTCTCCACCCCTGACTTAGGGCCTTGAGCAGTTGCTAGGAGAAGCCATTGGGTCACTCAGATGCACGAGGGCTGACGACCCCCAGGGCCTGCCCCAGCCTGCTGGCAGGACTGCACCGGTAGGGCCCATAGAGATGGGGGTCACCCTTCATTTCTGAGATGGGGAGAAAGGAGGCCTCAGAGGCTTCTTCTGTGCTGTGTTCATGGCTGACGCTGACCGGAAAGCAAGGTGGGCAGTGCGACCTCTTCCCGTCCTGGTCCTCTCCCAGGTGTCCTCTCGCCAGGACGAGACCATGGAATGGGCTCTTGCTGAGGCCTCCCAAGCAGTCCAGCCCCTCCCTCCCCTGCAACCCTAAGGAATGAAGTGCTACAGCCGGGCTCCTGGCAAGAGTGAGTGAACACTGGGCGGGCGGGGCCTGGCCAGCTGAGATTCTGCCCCCACCCCGCGGGCACCAAGCCACAGCTCTCTGCAGCTAGGCCTTCACGGAGCCAGCCCCTCTGCAATCCACCCCGTGGTTCTCAGGCTACCCCTTAGGGACAGGAGGTTGAGGAGGTGACATGCAAGAATGGTGACCCAGGCAAGGATGGGGACGCTAGGGAGCTGGGGAGCAGAGAAAGGCTCCCCGGATGTGGGAGTGTCAGGGGGAGACAGAGTAGGTTACTCTGAAATGGCAGCTTTGATGGGCTCAGCTTGAGTCTAAGGGCTATACGTATATGAGCTCATTGATTTCTTAACGACTTCTGTGTCGTGGCTACCATTATTACCCCCTGTGACAGAAGGGGAAACCGAGGCACACGGAGTTAAGGAATTTGCACAGGGTCATAAGCTGCAAAGCGGGTGGTAGGAGCCAGGCTGCAGAGTCCATGGCCCTAAGCACTGTGCCACACTACCTCTTGGCAAAGACTGTGGGGGCCATGGAAGGGGCACCGGATGGGGAGAAGAACCGGCTGGGAGGCAGGGCTGAAAGGGAGCCCTGTGCTCTGCTCCATGCTGCTGGGAGGCCCGGGGTCTGGGGCTGGGAGCAGCCCTCTTCATGGCACAAACAAGCTGCTGCCCTTGTCCCTTGGATCTGCCACCTCTGAGCACAGCGGCGATGGTTGATAAGGTGTAGGGAGCAGGTGGCGGGAGCTCAGAGGTGACCACAGCCAGAACCAGGCCGTGAAGGAGCGCAGTGAAAACCGTGGGGCCAGAACACAGCGCTGAAGGGAGGGGGCTGGGGGTGGGAGGACAGATGGAGCAGGGACGAGTCCCAGTATTTGGAGCGGGGACAGATAAGTCCCCCTTCCAGAGGTGGGGAAGTAGAGCCGAGCCAGAGCAGGAGCTGCAGGCTGGGAGAGGGCCTGGGCTGTGGGCGGCAGGGGAGCAGAGGGAGAGAGAGGCCGAGGCTGTGGCAGAGTCCCAGTGCGCCCGAGAAGGTGGAGCCTGGCCCGGCCCGCTCAGAGCAGGGCAGGAGCAGGGGAGGGAGGCCGGGGCGGCGCTGACTCACCCGTCTTGGCCACCACAGACACGGGCCCCACACGCTGCCTTCCATGAAGTCCGTAGAGGTTCATCTTATACTTCCGATCGGGCTCCAGGCCGGGGATGGTGACCTCATTCTCGTCCCCTCCGACGGGCACTGCCCGAGGCTGCCCCTGCGCGTCCTTGTACTGGACCACGAAAGAGTCGAGGGGGCCCTGGGCCACGGTCCAGGACAGGCGCAGGGCATCTGGGGTCACGCCAGTCACTGTCAGCTCCCCTAGGACGGGCTGCTCAGGGGACACGGGTCGGGAGGGCTCCTCTTTCTTCTCTGGGGCTGTAAACAGGAGGATGCAGCCAGGTGCTGGGTGGGCAGCTGCGGCTGGGGCCTGGGCCTGGGACCTGGGGCTTGGATGGAGAGTTACCCCCCCGCCCCGGTGGGGGGTGGTTCACTGCTCGACTAGTGTGAGTGCTAACCTCTGTGGAGTCTGGCCTGGCCAGGGTATGACACACCTTCTGGGACTTGGGGAGCGGCTGGCTGAATGGGATGGATGGGGCCCAACCATGTGGGAGAGGCTGGCTGCCCTCAGCGCGGGAGCAGGGCCAGGGGGCTGGAGGCTGCTGTCTTGCTGGGAGGCCCAGAGGGTTCCTGGCTGAGGGCACAGTGTGGGAGGACGGGTAGGGGTCCCCTGCGGCTCAGGTGGCTGCCACTCACCGGTGGTGCCGTCAGCCGTGAGGGGGCCATAGCGCTTCTTGTTGGCCATCCCAAACAGGGCGAACCTGTACTTGTGGTCAGCGTCCAGGGGAGACACGATGATGGAGCGCTCAGGTCCCTCCACGGGCACCACCTGGGGCCGCCCGTCTCTGTCCCTGTACTGGACCACGAAGGAGTCGAACTGGCCCTCAGGGACAGTCCAGGAGAGCTGCAGTGAGTCTGGGGTAGGGTCGGTCACCCACAGCTTCCCGAGGCGAGGTGCTGTCCCCGGACTGGGGTCACTCCGAGGCACTAGGAGGCACGGAGAGAGAGAGAGTGAGGGGGACATGGGTCCCGGGAGAAGGGAGGACGCATCTCCCACCCAGTGATGCCATGTGAGGCTGTGCAGGCTGTTCACTGCACAAAGGCGTATGCTAAGTACAGCGGGATAGAGATCCAGCTTGCCAAGCTGTGTGCCGTGCGGAGGGGCTGTGCCTGCCGGCAGGAAGGGCTGCCATCTCCCAAACGTCACAAAGCATTGTTAGCACGTGCGTGGCCCCGACGTTTTTCGCAAGCAGGGGGGATGGGGGCTTCAGGGAGAGGAGGGCCCGGCCAGGCCTTCCCACATCCCCAGAGCCAGGGAAATCTTCCCAGCGCAACCTCCACTGCTTCCAGGCCTAACTCCCAGCTGCTTTTTTGTCCACAGGAAGGCGGCACAAGCCCGGAGTGCGTTATCATGGGATAACCCTGCTCCAGGTTGCTCCTCCTGGGGAACCCGGGCCCACTGCTGACCCTCACTCTGCACCACAGCCCTGTTTCTGGCTCCTCGTTCCTCCATCAGCACCCTTAACACCCTCCTGCCCACCCGTCCCGCTGGGCCCGCGTCTCTCCAGCCGCCATCTTCGCTCTTTGCTCTGTGTTCCCAGCCCCAGTTCCGAAAAGAGGTGTTTACGCCAGTTGTAGCCACGTCCTCACCTCCGTCAGGCTCCCAAGCCAGCTCCGTCCCTCACGGGGGCCAGGAGCGACCTCGTCATCGCTAAGGCCTGTGGACGCTCCCGTAGCCTTTGAATCACTTTCCCGGAATCTCAAGAGTTTGGCCGCACCCTCCTCCCCAGCGTCCAGGAGGGCGCGCCGGGCTCTGCCCCTCCCGGCTGGCTGCTCTTCCCCTGCCACTACTCTGAGTGCTGGGCGCCCTCAGCGTTCCGGCGGGGCCCTCTCTTCTCCCCACAAGCCTCCCGCTGGCTCCTGCCCATCGGCGCTGAGAACACCCAGCCCTCTCCCGGGTGCGGTTCAGCCCCGGGGCCCTACCATGCCCTGCTCAGGTGGCCTCTCTGCACCTCCGTGCCCCTGTCTATTGAGTGGGCGTGGCTCACAGGCAGCTATAAGGAGCCCGCTGAGGCCCCTAAGCGTCTGGAGGCTCAGAGCTAAGTGTGCCGCCCGGCTTCCTCCGGCCCCAGACACCTGGGCTGTCTGATCCGGAAACCCAGAGGGTTGCCTGGGCCTCCTTGCTCTCCTTCAGCGGCCCCACTGCCACCAGCCCGGCCCTGTCACCTCCACCACGCCCACCAGCTCTTGGGGCACTTCCCCGCTGGCCTCTACAGCGGTCATAGTCGCATGTAGGACAAACATCGAATCACGTCACTCTCCCATTAGAACCCGTCAGAGGCCTCCAGGGCCCTCCAATGGGGCCAAGGCCCTCAGCACCGCACACACAGCCCAGAGACCAGGCCCTTTCGTTCCCCACCTGCCCTGCTCTCTGGGGGGTGAGGACATAGGCCACTCCCTCTGGCTGCCCACACTGCTCTCCCTGCAGCACTCAGCTCAGCACCACCGCTTGCAGGAAGCCTTCCTGGAGCTCCCAGGGCACTGGGAAGGTGCAGCGGGGAGGGTGTGCCCGCTGTCACTCACAGATCTTGCCTTCAGCCACCAGGGGGCCGTGCCTCTTCTTGCCGACGAGCCCGTACAGGACGAACTTGTACTTGCGGCCCGGCTCCAGGGAGGTGATGGGGACGGAGCGCTGCGGCCCCTCCACAGGCACCACCTGGGGCCCCTCCTTGTCCTTGTACTGGACCACAAAGGAGTCGAACTCGCCCTCGGGGACCGTCCAGTGCAGGAGCAGGGAGTCGGAGGTCAGGCCCGTCGCCGTCAGCTCGCCCAGGCGCGGTGGGCTCGAGGATTTCCCAGGCTTCTCCTCATCCAGGTCTGGGGTTGGGAGGGCAAAAGCACCGCGGCCTCAGCCACGCCCTCATCCCCCTCCCTCCTCCGCCCGCCTCACTCCATCCTGACAGCTCCGTGGCCCGCCCTCTGGGAGGGACACATTGCCCCTTCACTTTCTGTTTCTTCCCTACCTAGCCTCTCAGGACCTCTGGGGGAGTTTCAGGTCCCCCACGGCTCTGCCCGTGAGTTTCAAGCCTCCCCATTGCTGCCTCAGAGCAGTCTGAGAGCGCCTCAGGCTGCTGCCTCTCTGGCCGCCCTCTCTCTGTGAGGAGTGGACCAAGAACTGGGGCAAGAGCCAGCCACCCTGGGCCTGGTCCCCTAGAGAGGGTACCCCAGGCCCTGCCCGGCCCTGCTCCTGTGAACCTCATCCAGCCCCAAAGTCCTAATGGCTGCAGGGCCCCCAGCCCACGGAGCTGCCGTGCCCAGCAGAAGTTGGCCAGGTGGGCCACAGGGGGCTGTCCACCGCAAGCCTGGCTCCCAGGGAGGAGGCACGGGGCTGCAGGGAAGGGTCGGGGAGGTGGGGTCTGGGGCTAGAATCCCGGGGCCAGAGGCCCACCCAAGCCCACCCTAAGAGATGGTTAGGCCAGGGTAGGCAGAGGAGTGCCTGGGGAGTGAGGGCAGGACAAGGGCAGGGGGCGGACCGGGGCCTATCCCTGCCTCACCCGACTTTCCTCCTGCACTCTTTTCCCAGAGTACCCACCCCCATCACCAGTCTAAGGCGCCCTCCATCCTCCTTTGCTCTAAACCCACAACTTTTTTCTCTCTGTCCTCTCCTCCCATGCTGCCCCACGCATCTGCCCTGGCCTTTACTGGCCCCTCAATCCCCCTCCCACCTTTGAGGTCCCCACGGCCCCCAGCTCTCCCCCACCCCAGTCTTAGCACTTTGGTTTGAGCAGAGTCCAAAATGTACCCATAATGCCTTGGTAGGTGATGGGGGCAGAGGGCTTGCCCCTGGGAGGGACCCCATGAAGTGACAGCTCGTAGGGGGCTCCAGGAGGGGGTGGGGGCACCAAGGCCTGGCGGCTGTCCCCTGGCAGCAGCTCCTCATGCGCCCTTGGCCACTCGGGCACCCGCAGGTAGAGCTGGAAGTGGGCGAAGGTGTCGGGCTGGGCGGTCCAGGCCACGCGCAGGCGCCCTGTCTCGTCTCTGCCCAGTACCCTCAGCTCTCCGAGCTCCTGGGGGCGCTGTTGCAGAAGAGGGCCCTGGGCTCCTTGGGTCGTCGAGGGGCCTGAGGGAGGAGGTTCATCGGTAGCCCCCAAGAAGCCTGAGGGTGAGGACCCTGGGAAGGGGCAGGGTGAGAGAAACAGGAGAAGGGAGGGTAAGAGCCAGAAAGGGGGCCCCAGCCCTCGGTTTCTGCCCTCCAGCCTCCAGGGGCCCAGAGACCACCCTGCGTCTGCCTCTGGGTTCCACCACTGGGGCCACCCCACCCCACAAAGGGCTAGGCCTTCAACCCCCCACCCAGGGACACATTCCTGAGCACACAGGCAGAGGAACAAAGCCTGTCTCTCTCTCTCTCCCTCCCTCCCTCCCCCTGCAAGGCTTCCCAGTCTGCAGCCCCAGTCTCCACGATGCCCCCCACCATGCATGCCCCTCCCCACTGGTGGCATCCGGCTTCCATTAGTGCTGCAGTGAGAAGTCTGGAAGAGAGGAGGAGGTGGTGCTGTTAGGAGAGGAGGCTGCAAGAGGTGAGTGGGAGGGGAAAGAGGAGAGAGAGGGTGTGTGTGGCGAGAGGCGTCCTGGTCGGGCGACATCTGGAGCCTATGGGAGAAGAAGAGGTTCACCACCCTCCCACAGCAGCCACGGAGCCCGGCCACTGGTCCTGTGGGAGAGACAGGCGCGAAGGGAGCCAGCAGGCTTGGAAAAGCAGCTTCGGAAGCAGCGGTTTCACCCCTCACCACACACACATGCTGCCTGCTGGCTTCAAGCCACCCCCAAGCAGTTCCCTTTGTGTCCTCTCAAGGTCAAGGCCAAATTGTGGGAAGCAGTAACCACAGACCAGTCTTTAGTCACCCTCACCACAGTGAGTCAGAGTGAGAGCCGCTGGCTTCCATTGCCACTGCGAGCGCTCCAGGGAGTCTCTGCAGGCACCGCCCCCCAAAACCAACACCAATGCCCCTTCTTTGGCCTGGACTAACACTCCTGGCACAAGTGTCCTGGGAACCCAGGTGAAGCCCAGGGACCCCAAACACCAGAGCGCCTTGGCCTTGGGTAGGCAGGGACACTGGGTGAGGGTGGCTTCCCGGGACTCGCTGTGCTGTGAGGCTCTCGGGAGCCGGGTTAGACAGGTGCGGTGGGGCGTGGCAGTCTGAGCTGGGAGGCAGTGGGAGGGACTCCGGCAGCACGCTCCAGAAGCAAGTGACTCTGGGGCAGGGGATGTGTGTGGTCCCGCGGCCCCAGCCCACGCTACCTGTGGTGGTGACGAAGGCGTAGGACTTGGAGGTCTGCCCCGCCCGCACCCCGTGGACCTCCACGTGGTAGGTGGTGCCGGGCCTGAGGTCGGGTAGGCTGACGGTCCGCGCGTTGCCCGACACGGTCAGCTCCCCGCCCGGGCCCCGTGCAGGCGGCTGGGGCCGCCAGCGCAGCACCACGCGCTCGAACTGGCCGCGGAGCCCGTCGAGGGACACGAGGAGCGCGCCGTCCGCGGCACTGCCCAGCACCTCCGGCTTGGGGTGGCGAGGCGCGGCCCCCGGGTCGACGCTTTCGGGCGAGAGGCCGTGTCTGCCCTGGGTGGAGTCCCGCTTCCTGGTGCCCGGAGCGGGGCTGGCGGTGGGGTGGGGGCGGCGGGGCGACGGAGCAGGGGGAGCCCGCGGGACCCGCGGCCGCGAGGCGCCGCTGCAGGTACTCATGGATGTGGCGCGCCACCGACGTGTAGGTCTGGTTGGCGCGCAGTGGGTAGCCGTGAGCCCGCAGGTGGCGCTCCAGGTCCTGCACCGTGCCGCGGAACCGGCCCAGCTCGGCCGTCAGGTTGGCCCAAGCCCGCCGCGGGGGCTGGGGCAGGCTGGGCCGGGGCCGGGCCTCCTCCTCCCGCTCCTGTGCGGGCCTCGAGGGCCGCGGGGGCCGCTGGGCGGGGCCCGGCCGGGGCTGGGGGGGCGGGGCTGGGGGGCGCACCTCCGGGTAGCTGTAGTGACCTGGTGCTGCCGAGGGGTGAAAGAGAGCGAGGGAACAGGTCAGCGGCTGCGCCCCCACACCCCGCACTCCTTCCCTTGACAGCCCCTCCCTCCACGCCGCCCACCAGAACTAAAGGCCGCTTCCCTGCACCCCAGCCCCACCTGAAAGAGAACGTGAGAAATGAGTCATGTGCCAGGAGCCCCCTCCCCTCTCCCACCCCCAGGCCCACCGCTGTTGCTGCCCTAGGAAAAAGAGAAGCCAGCTGGTGGAACCCTGCATCCGACGACGGAGAAAAGGGGGCTGGGGGAGAGAACGTGAGTGACAGCAAGGCGGGTGTCCCCCGCTGGCACGGAGGAGAGGAGGAAGTTCCAGGCATCTGTTAAGAAATCTTGAGGGTTAGTGGAAAATTACGGCGACCTCAGTCCTGGAGGCAACAGGACTGCTGCTGTCTGATCTGCCTCGTTCCCAGATCTGTCAGCGCAAGGAATGTCCCTCTGCCCTCACTTGGGTAAGAACGGCCTCGGCTGGCTGGGTGGGACAGCATCTCTCCATGGGGCAGTTCCTCCCTCGTCTAACCTGCAGCCCTCTCTACGGGACCCCAAGCACCTGCAGGCCCTGTCTTCTCCCTGCCCCATGAGGCAGGTGCTTTGGAATTGCCACACACCCTACCAAACTCACAGTGGCTGTGAGCCCCAGGACCTGGCTCCCGAGCAGGGAGCTCCTAGCCTGGGAAACCAGGGCCCTCCCCTTCGCCGCTGGCCAGCCGTACCTGTGTTGGCTCTGATGGAGGCTGGGTAGCTGACGGCCCGGCCCCTCTCAGCGGTGACGGTCACCACATATTCCACACCTGGCATCAGTTCGGTCAGCACTGTTCCATCTGCTTCCGGGGGCACTTCCAGCCGCACCCTCTGGTTGCCGGCACTCACATAGGACACCACAAATCGGTCCACTTCGGCCTGGGGGCGCAGCCAGCTGAGATCCATCGTGGTTGGTGTCACGGCCACCACGCGGAGGTCCTGGGGCCCATCGATCACTAGCCGGGTGAGAGCGAGGAGGGCTCAGGTGGAAGTTCCATCCTTCGGTCATCAGCTTTCTGTCCGAGAGCCCAGCCCCCATCCGGTCCCCGATTCCCAGCTGCCCCTCTCAGCTGGCAGTGTCCACCCAGGACCCCACCCGCCTGGCCCTGGTTCTCACTGGTGGTAATGGTCTTAGAGGCAGGGGGCCCCCAGCTGGTCCCACGGAGGGCACGGACGGTGACCTGGTACTCCTGACCCGGAGCCAGTCCTCTCTGGTCGTAGGCTGAGGCAGAGCTAGGCACCCGTGCTGTGAATGGGGGACTCGCTCCCTCTGTCTGTGAGAAAGAAGGGGAGCAGGGATCATGGGCTGGTACTCTCGTGCCTGCCACTCAGTCTCCCTTGTCTCATCTTTCTCCAGTCCCAAACAGTGTCAGCATGAGACTGTGTGAAGCGTGGCCCTGCACCAGCAGGTGCAAACACACCAAGAGCATTCCTCCTGCTAGCCCCCTAACAGGCCATTTACGTATATGAACTCACTTAATGTTCACAAACACCTATGAGACAGGCACTGTTAGTCCCATTTTACAGATGAAAAAACTGAGATGCAGAAGAATAAGTGCTTTGCCACAGTCACTCACACCGAGAAAGGGGCAGGGGTTTAGCCGGGAGTCCCCCGCACAGGCATTCCCCATTCACCTGCCACAATTGCATTCAACACACACAAGGCTTTCCCGTGGCAACCCTGACTACCTGGGCCTGAGGAGCCTTCTACGCTCGTTCCTTCCAGAACTGATGAAATGGGTGGGGGGTGCCCCTGTTACTTTCACTTCATCCTCAGGGCATATGCCTCTGGGTGTGACCCTGACAGGGCTTGTCTTGTTTCTTCAGCAGGCAGACAGGCTGTCAGAGTAAGACCCGCCTGCTCCAAATTCCACAAATAACGTTTCCTGATTTCTGATTTTATACCTGGCATCCTGCTGGGTTTTCAAGACCCCAAAACAAAAGATGTGGTGGTCCCTGTCGGCTGGTGGCTCATACTCTGGTCGTTGCAAGAGTGACTTAGAAAATTTGGGGAAATGGAATTAAAAAAAAAAAAGTTTATATTTTGGTGCAAAAAATGGAAATTCATGCATACTTTTTTCATCATAGGCGTTTTCCATGAATGTTTTGAAGATCCTTGCTTATGCACAGATATCAAATGTTTTTTGCACCAAGATAAACTTATCTTTTAATTCCATTTTCCATGAATTTTTCCAAGTGTTCCCGTTTGTATGGCCATGTGTTAAGTTTTATGAGATTCTGGCATAAATATCTGAGTGCAGCAAATGCCACGTGGCAAATCCTCCTCCTTCCCGTGTGCCTTGAGGGTGGTGTGATGGTGTGTGGTGGCCCCGGGGGCAACCTGCCAGGCCCCTGCCCAGGCGGGGTCCCCTGGGCACTGCTGCTGGGGAGGCAGGAAGAGCTGCGCCCGAGGAGCCTTCTACCAGCTCTGGGTTTCGCTGGGCTGGTGCGGCCAGGACAGCCACCAAGGACACTCTGTTCTGCTGAGCTGTGTTGGCCACAATGGGAACACCTCCCCTCGGCCAAGTAGGATTGGAAATTTCTAAGGTACTCTCCCAAAGCAAGAGAATGGCGCAGAAACCAACCTAGGAAATACCAAGTACAAAACCAGATGAGAGGCCACGTCGAGATGTCTGAGTTGAGGATGCAATAAAGTTTTGTCAGAGTTTCCTGGGCTGACGGGGGTTCCTAGGCACACGGGATCCTGTCCCTCTCCCACTCATCCTGCCCTGGGACGTCCCAGCCCAGCAGACTCGGGCCAGCCTCAACTCTCAACCCGAGAATCCTCGTGCTTCTCACCTCCTCCCTCTCACCTCCCCCTTCTTGTTTCCCTCAACACACACCTCTTGGTGCTCCGTGACTGTGTCTGGTTCTTTCCCCGAGGCAAGCCTGTCCCCGGAGTCCTGCGTCTTCCTTTGGACCAATCATATCTACATCTGTCTGTGTGTCTGTTTGTCTTTCCATCTGACACCTCTGGGTTCCTCCTGAGACCCATTTGGGGACAGTCCCCTGAGAGTCCCACTGTCAGCATGTCTCCCAGCACCTCCTCACTGATCTCTAGCCCAATGCTCCATGACAGATTTGGCTACCTCACTTGTTCTTGGCAAGTTAGAACTTTGTTCCCACTATGAACCTCGTGACCCGAGATGGAGGACTCCACCTTGGCCTTGGATTTTTTTTTTTTTTTTGACAGAGTTAGACAGTGAGAGAGAGAGACAGAGAGAAAGGTCTTCCTTCCATTGGTTCACCCCCCAAATGGCTGCTACGGTCGGAGCTATGCCAATCCAAAGCCAGGAGCCAGGTACTTCCTCCTGGTCTCCCATGCAGGGGCAGGGGCCCAAGCACTTGGGCCATCCTCCACTTCCCTCCCGGGCCACAGCAGAGAGCGGACTAGAAGAGGAGCAACCGGGACTAGAACCCGGTGCCCATATGGGCTGCTGGCGCCGCAGGTGGAGGATTAACCAAGTGAGCCACGGTGCCGGCCCTGGCCTTGGATCTTAACCTCACCCTCATTTCCCTTTTAAGACAAGACCTGGGGCCGGCGCTGTGGCATAGTGGGTAAAGCTGCTGCCTGCAGTGCTGGCATCCCATATGGGGGCCAGTTTGAGTCCCAGGGGCTCCACTTCTGATCCAGTTCCCTGGGAAAGCAGGGAATTGCCCCCCACCACTGCCCAGTTCCTGGGAAGGCAGCAGAAGATGGCCAAAGTCCTTGGATCCCAGTACTCATGTGGGAGACTGGATGAAGCCCCTGGCTCCTGACTTCAGCCTGGCCCAGCCCTGGCCATTGCAGCCATTTGGGAAGTGAACCAGCAGATGGAAGATCTCTCTCTCACTCTCTCTCTCTCCCCCCACCTCTCTTTGTAACTCTTTCAAATAAAATAACTAAATCCTTAAAAAAAAAAAAAAAAAAAAAAAGACAAGACCCAAACAAAAACTTTCTTAAAGCTGTAAGGTCTTCTGGCGCAAGGAGCACTTGGCATAGCGCTGGTTCCAGGCTGCAGAAGATGCCCAGACAAGGAAGACTCAAGCTTCTTTAGGATCCAGAGTTCACCTCCCTCAGCGTCCCTGTGCTTCCTCTCATGGTTGGAACGGAGCCAGCATCTTCCAGGTAGCAGCGATCCTTGAGTCAGTGGTCCTGTGACTTGAGGTGCATTTGGAGGCTGCAGCTGGCTAAGCACTGCTTGGAACACCCGCACCGCATGTCAGAATGCAGTGTGGAATGCCGGTTCCAGTTCCCGCTCCTTGGCTTCTCACCCAGCTCCCTGCTACTGTGCCTGGGAGGCAGTGGAAGATGGCCCAAGTACTTGGGCCCCTGCCACCCACATTGAGGACCTGGATGGAGTTCCTGGCTCCTTCCTTCAGCCTGGCCCAGCCCTGGCTGTTCGACCACTTGGAGAGTAAACCAGTGGATAGAAGATCTCTCTCTCTCATTCTGCCTTTCAAATAAATAAATAAATAAATAAATGTCTTTAAGAAGAAGAAGAAGATGAATAATAATAATTATTATTACCTGGAAGACTTGCTGTAACACAGGTTACTTGTCTGCAGATCCTCTGATTCAATAGATTTGGGGGTAGAGTCTGATCACTTGCATTTTTTATTAATTTTTAAAAATTTATTTGAAAGGCTCAGATACAGGGAAAGAGAGAGAGAAAGAGGGAGAAACAGAGAACTCTTGTCACTGATTCACTCCCCCAGGATGGGCCAGGCCAAAGCCAGGAGCCCAGAAGTCAATCCAGGTCTCCACATGGTGGCAGGGGTCCAACTACTTGAGCACATTGTTCCCAGGTGTGTGCGTTAGCAGGAAGCTGGGATCAGGAGCAGGGCTGGGACTGGAACCCAGGCCCTCCAACATGGGCTGGGGGCATCCCAAGTGGTGACCTAACGGCCCCCTTGACCACTCATGTTTCTACCGAGCTCCCTGGCCCAAGAACACACCGAGAACCACTGAGTCAGTGTAACAATGCCACATAGGCAGGGAGAGGGGGAACAGTCTTCTGTGTTCTGAAACTAATTCCAATAACGCGGTGTGGCTTCGGCCAGGAAGAGCAGAGTTTGGGCTGAAAGAGAGACGTGCTTCTGGCAAGGGGGAGGGATGGGGTAGAGACAGGCTCCTAGGCAGATGGCAGTGGTCCGAGGACAGCCAGCTACTGAGGACACTTCAGGTCAATGGAGAGGGTCAGAGAGCACTGCCTGAGGCCAGTCACCGCGAGAGCAGAGGGCACGGGCTGGTGTCTGGGGACCAGGTTTACAGGAGCGTCTTCCCCGAATGTGACAGAGGCCTATGCTCGGAGCAGGGCGGTGAAGCAAGCAGGGCCCAGCCTGGCACCACGGGGCTCTGGGGAAGAGGAGAAGTCGGAGCTGCAGATGGGAAGCTGCCCCCACAACAGCACCCAAAGATGGATGTCTATTTACTCAGGGTGGGAGACAGCGTGTGGTGAGCCTCCTTGTATCTCAAGTGTTTATTTTAATTCTTTCCTTAAAGTTTCCTCGGGAAATTCTTTTTAAAAGTCCCGCCCTGTTAAGATTAGAGCTATGTAAATAATATGCACACAGAAGAGTGGGAGAAACACTTTAACATGTTCACTGTGCTTGTTTTAGTGTGAAACAGCCAAGAACTATTTGCTGTTCTTTGCTGTAGTTGCCAAATTCTTGTCTCAGGAGTAAATTATGTTTATAGCAAATAATAATTTCTAATTCAAGAAGAAAATCCAAGCTGTCTTAGTTGTGCCACAAAATAGGACCGTCTGCCTCTGCTTTAGCCAGAGAGTGGGCAGGATGGAACCTGCGGGGAGGTGGCCGAGAAGCCCAGGCGAAGGGGGGTAAGGATGACAGTGGCACCTCTGAGCTGTCCGTCCCTGCTGTTCCAGCATCTTCTGCAGCTATCGGTCAGGGAGTTGTTTGTCTTCCCATTGTCCTGGCTGGGCTGATGGAGACATGGGTGGCAAGGCCCACCCTCCTGTGGCACTCGGGGGAAGGTGCAGGGAAACAAGGCTGGGTGGTGGGTGCAAATGTCAGGTGATTTGGAGACAAGAGAACAACCCTATCCTAAAAAGGCCAGTCCACAGAATGGGAGGTCCCCAGTGGGGGGCCCCCTAAGACCTTAAAAATACGTTGGAGGGAGAGAGAAAGGATGCTTTGCCCTGCGCTGAGGACACGGCAGTGGGAGCACAAGTTCATGGACTCGAAAGGATTGCAATAGCCTGGACAGCTTGGCCCAAACCGAAGGAGATAACATTGAGCAGAGCCAAAGGGAAGGTCTATATTTAGGCTGAAACACTGTACTGTGTATACAGCCGAATGTTCTCGCCCGCCGCCCGCCCTCCCTTCTTTCTTCTTGCTTCTATATATGTGGTCTAAATTTTTTGTGCTGGGCCTAATACTTAGGACTTTTATTTTAAAAAGTTATGTTTAGAAAATGAATGGAATTGAAGCAGCTGACAGTCTGTGAGTACAAGTTAGCAGAAGCCCACTCTGCGAAAAGTGCCAGTGAGTCCAGAGTAGCCGGTGGGCCCCTCTCTGCCCACCTGGACCACGGTTTGAGGGGCATGTGCAAAAAGCAGGCGGCACAGGGAGGTGAAGGTTTCAGGGGACAAAGCCTTAGGGGAACGTGGTGAAGAAACCAGGGAATTTTTCCAGGTCAGGATGAAGGCCATGAGGGCTGAGGTCTGGGTATTGGACTCAGGGAAAGCAAAGAAATATTCCCACAGCCTGAGAATGCCCAGCCAGTGCCAATAGCTGGGCGTTAGGATACAGAAAGATCTGGATTCAGCAACACAAAGAGCTCACAGGGATGACCAGCAAGGGACTGGAAAGCCGCAGGAAGCTCTGAGCCCACTGTCACCAGAGGTGCTCCAGCTGCCCTGGACCAGCGCTGGCTGGAGATGCTGCTGAGGTTCCTGTGCTGTGCCTGGCAGGGTATGGAGCTTCAGGAACCCAGTCACCTGATTCCTTGGAACTTCCTGCAAGAGATGAGCCCTCCCAGCCCCAGTCCTGCCCGCTCAGCCCTCTGCTCACCGTGGGGATGAACTGGATTTCATAGGCATCCACGGGGCCCGGAGCCCGGGTCCACTCTGTGCGAACGGTGGTCTCCTCCAGCAGGTGCATTCTCATGTTGTCAATGGTGGGGATCTCTGCCCAGGAGAAGGGGACAGGGAAAGCTGGTTAGCGCCAGGCGGCCACCCCCACCCCCACCAGCGCAGCCCGCTTTACCCAGGTCCACACCAAGAGGTCCAAGGGAGGCTTCTCCTTGGTGGGTGAAAAGCTAGCAGAGGCCTGGACAGGGCCAGGGTCTCCTTTCTCTTTGCCTAAGCTCTGAGAACAAAGAGTCTCCCTAAGTGTAACCAGAGGGGCCCCCAAACTGCTGCTCAGGAATCTGCAGGCCCCATGGAGCTTCCTTCCAGTTCCCCTCTGTTCTCCTCAAGCTCCTGCTTCAGAATCCTAGTCCGCCACAACCCTCACTGGGGCTCACCTTCCCCACAGTCCTCTCCGGCGTAGCCGTCTTGGCAATGGCAGCTGCCCTCCCGGCACTCTCCCCTGCCGAGGCAGTCCCTGGGACACGTCTGGATGGCGCAGTCGGGGCCTTGGAAGCCCTCCACGCACACACACTGGCCGGCGCGGCACAGTTCCCGGGGCCCGCAGCCCCCGGGACAGGCGCTGGCGGGAGGCTCTTCTTGCCCGCAGTCCTCGCCGCTGTAGCCCGCATGGCACACACACACTCCTTGCACGCAGCGCCCGCGGCCCCGGCAATCGGCCAGGCAGGTGCGCGTGGCGCAGGCAGGGCCGGTGTAGCCTTGGTCGCACACGCAACGCCCGTCCTCACAGCGGCCACGCCCGTGGCAGTTGAAGGGGCAGGTGCGAGTGGCGCAGTCCTCGCCGGCGTAGCCCTCCCAACAGCTGCACACCCCATCCTGGCACACGCCATGCTGGCTGCAGTCTTGAGGGCACCGCCTCACGCCGCAGTCCTCGCCAGAGTAGCCGTCGTCGCACGCACAGCGCCCATCCAGGCACTGGCCGCGGCCTCGGCAGTCCCCGGGGCAGCTGCGCAGCCCGCAGTCCTCCCCGCTGTAGCCCGCGTTGCACACGCACACGCCGTTCTCGCAGCGTCCGCGGCCCCGGCAGTCCCCAGGGCATCGACGGCTCCCGCAGTCCTCGCCCGTGAAACCTGGGTTGCACACGCATCGGCCGTCCACGCAGCGTCCGCGCCCGCGACAATCTCCAGGGCAGGCGCGCGTACCGCAGTCCCGGCCCGTGTATCCCGGCCAACACACGCAGCGGCCGCTCTCGCAGCGGCCCCGGCCACGACAGTCCCCGGGACAGCTGCGCACGCCGCAGTCCTCGCCGCTGTAGCCCGCGTTGCATACGCACACGCCGTTCTCGCAGCGCCCGCGGCCCCGGCAGTCGCGCGGACAGGCGCGCGTGCCGCAGTCGGGCCCGGTGTACCCCGGCCAGCACACGCAGCGCCCGTCCTCACAGCGGCCCCTCTGGCTGCAGTCGCCGGGGCAGCGGCGCACGCCGCAGTCGTCCCCGCCGTAGCCCGGGTCGCAGATGCATTCGCCGTCCTCACAGCGCCCGCGGCCCCGGCAGTCGCGCGGGCACGTCCGCGTGCTGCAGTCCTCGCCCGCGTACCCAGGCCAGCACACGCAGCGGCCGTCCACGCAGCGCCCGCCCTCGCCACAATCCCAGGGACAGACCCGCCCGCCGCAGTCGTCGCCAGTGTAGCCGGGGTCGCACACGCAGCGCCCGTCCTCACAACGCCCCCTCTGACTGCAGCCTCGGGGGCAGCTCCTCTGCCCGCAGTCGTCGCCGGTGTAGCCCGGGTCGCACACGCAGCGCCCATTCTCGCAGCGTCCTCTCTGGCTGCAGCCTCGGGGGCAGCCCCTCTGCCCGCAGTCCTCGCCGGTGTAGCCCGGGTCGCACACGCAGCGCCCGTCTTCGCAGCGTCCCCTCTGGCTGCAGCCTCGAGGGCAGGAGCGCTGGCTGCAGTCGGGCCCGGAGAAGCCAGCCCGGCACACGCACACACCCTGCACGCAGCGCCCGCGGCCTTGGCAGTCCCCGGGGCACGAGGGCCAACTGCAGCTGGGGCCCGTGTAGCCGGGGAAGCACACACAGCGACCGCGCACGCAGCGGCCCTGATCGTTACAGTCGTCGGGGCAGGACCCAGAGGCTGAGGGCGCCGAGGAGGGGGGCAGGGCAGCGTCTGTGGGGTCGGAGCAGGTGGGCCCACCCCAGCCTGGCTCGCAGGAACAGGTGCAACGGCTCAGGTCGAACACTCCGTGGAGGCTGCAGAGGCTCCGCACATCTGTCTGGCCTGGAGCGGGAGGGGGAGGGGCATGTCTCAGGCTCTCAGGAGGGGAGAGAGGCTGAGCCCATTCCTGCTCCTAGAAGTTGATTCCGCCAGCGAGCCCCCTTCCCAAGGCTTGGTAGCTCCCAGGGCCCTGGCATATGCTTAGGCTGACATTTAACCCAGCTTTGTGCTCCAAGTGGTGCCCTGGGCTGTACCCCTAATAGTGAGGAAGGAGTGCCTTTCCCTAATTTGTACCCCGACCCTTTAAGGATGCCCACTCTGCCCCAGCTCTCCACTTCCGCCTCTTCTTCATTGCCCCCCTTGTAGGACTGCCGCTCACCTGTGCCCGCCTGGGCAGCAGCAGGACAACAGCCCCCTGTGCACTGTTCCTTGAGCCCCTTCACCAGCTCTTCCAGCATCTCCAGCCGGATCCTCAGGGCCTGCACCTCTGAAGCAGGGACGGGGGGCTCCGTGCCAGGGGGGCAGCCACAGCCAGCAGAAGGGGGCAGGTTAATTCGGTGGGTGAAGACCACCTGCTTCTCCCCGCCTTCCACTGTGTGCTCGTACAGCTGTGAAGAGGGGCTTCCACCACCTGTTTCTGCGGTGCGGCCCCCAGGCTGCGGAGGGGGCCGAGGGGCAGAGAGTGTCACATTGGACCGTGGAGAGAAGGGGCCTGCTCTGGCTGTGCCCAGCAACAGAAGGAGAGCCAGACCACAGCTGAGGGGGCACTGGGCTGGCATCATGCAGGAGGCTGCAAGGAGAGAGGGCGAAGTGTGAGTGCAGCTTTGCAAAAGAAGAGACAACATGGACCCCAACACGTACCCATCGCTTGACTAACAAGCTCCACAATGGAGCCACCCCACTCACCTGTGTGTAAAATTCCACGTTCAGCCCAAGCCTCAGGGATCCCCCCCCTCCACAGGCAGATCTGGCCTCCATCTCTCTCTGATGTCATTTGGCCACCTTGCCTCCACCTTGTTGACTGTGTTCCCCCCATGGGTCTTTGGTCCCACGAACACTGGAAGCCTACAGCAGCCCAAGGGCCTTTGCACGGTCTGTGCTCTCTGCTGGGGATGCTCTTCCCTCAGCTGTTAGAGGCTGGCTCCTTCTTGCTCAGTCCTAACTCACACGTCACCAACGGCAACTTGGTGTGCCCTCTTCTATTTCTCCCACTGCTAGAACAGGAGCTCCGTGAGGACAGGGACCCCTGTGTCCTGGTGCTTCTGTATCCCTGTGCTATGCAGTACATCAACCTTGGGTGCATTAGCGGATGAGTGGCCAGGGCCAGTCCCTTCCCGGGTACCTGGATCCTAGCTCCTATCGTCTTCTCAGGCTCCTAAGGCACAGATGAATCCTCTCTCTCTGATTCAATCCCTCCCTCTCAACTACATCCTTCTCATCAACATTTATACACGCTCAAGTTTCTCCATTAAAAAAGACAAAAGCGTGTTTCTCAGGACTTACATGATCAAATTTCAAAACTTGTAAAGTTGCTAGGATAGACAGATGGAACTGAATTGGGTTGAGACATAGAGCTGAGCTACAATTAAAAGTAGAAACAGAGGCCGGCACCGTGGCTCAATAGGCTAATCCTCCACCTTGCGGCGCCGGCACACCGGGTTCTAGTCCCGGTCAGGGCGCCGGATTCTGTCCCGGTTGCCCCTCTTCCAGGCCAGCTCTCTGCTGTGGCCAGGGAGTGCAATGGAGGATGGCCCAGGTGCTTGGGCCCTGCACCCCATGGGAGACCAGGAAAAGCACCTGGCTCCTGGCTCCTGCCATCGGATCAGCGCGGTGCACCGGCTGCAGCGGCGGCCATTGGAGAGTGAACCAACGGCAAAGGAAGACCTTTCTCTCTCTGTCTCTCTCTCTCACTGTCCACTCTGCCTGTCAAAAAAAAAAAAAAAAAGTAGAAACAGAGTGCTCTTTTCAATAAGTGGGGGAGGGCAGCTGCAGCTCCATATGGGGAAAAATAAATCTCTACCTTATGTCCAGCTGCAGAGAATAATTTGAGATGGGTTGTGTAAAGGTAAAGCCGTTCTTTTCATAACAATATGCACAAAAGGAAAAAAAAAAGGTAAAAATCTTTGGGGCAAGCAAAGGTTTAGGTGGAACACACAACCAAACCATAAAAAAAAAGATATATTGGGCCGGCGCCGTGGCTCACTAGGCTAATCCTCCGCCTTGCGGTGCCGGCACACAGGGTTCGAGTCCCAGTCGGGGCGCCGGATTCTGTCCCGGTTGCCCCTCTTCCAGGCCAGCTCTCTGCTGTGGCCAGGGAGTGCAGTGGAGGATGGCCCAAGTGCTTGGGCCCTGCACCCCATGGGAGACCAGGAGAAGCACCTGGCTCCTGCCATCGGATCAGCACAGTACACCAGCCACAGCGGCCATTGGAGGGTGAACCAACAGCAAAGGAAGACCTTTCTCTCTGTCTCTCTCTCTCACTGTCCACTCTGCCTGTCAAATAAATAAATAAATAAATAAAGATATATTAGAATTCTCACTAGAATTGACAACCTCTAGTCATCAAATAACATCAGTAGGAGGATAAGAAAGCAAGCCACGGACTCAGAGAAAGTATGTGAGATATTGGGTGGGGGAAGGGACCAAAAGCTAAAATAAAGAACTGCAAAACAAAACAACAAGCAAAAGGCATGAAACTCAGTTTTTTTTTTTTTTAATTGGCAAAAGGAGTGGGAATTTGGCCTCGCAGTTAACGTGCTGGCTGAGGCACCCACGCTTCATAGATGAGTGCCTGGGTTTGATACTGGCTCCAGCTCCTGACTCCGTCTTCCTGCAACGGGGACCCTGAGAAGCATTGGTTATAGCTCAAGCAGTAGGATTCCTCTCACTCACATGAGAGACCTGCATTGGGTCTGGGACACAGCCATTTAGGGAGTGAACCAGTAGATGGGATCCTACTTCAAATAAATAAGTAATATGATATAATACACATTAAAATAAATAAAATAGACATAAGACTTAAGCAGTTTCTCCAGAAAAGAATATATCCAAATGGCCAATAAATCTATGAAAACATGTACAACATCACTACTCATCAAGAAAACACAATGGGGCTGGAGTTGTGGTGTAGTGGGTAAAGCTGCCACCTTCAGTGCCGGCATCCCATATGGGCGCTGGTTTGAGTTCCAGCTGCTCCACTTCCCATCCAGCTCTCTGCCCAGACTGGAAATAACTCAAGTGTCCATTAATACTAGATGGAGTAAATAAATGGTGGCAGAATCAGACAGTGTAATTCTATACAGCAATAAAAAGAAGCCAGTAGATGGTGGCATGTGGTAATGTCACACACATAATGCTGAACGAAAGAATCCAGACACAAAAAGAGAACTCTATTTGATGCCAATTTTTATGAATTTTGAAAACAGGTTGGGGCCGGTGCTGTGGCACAGTGGGTTAACGCCCTGCCTGAAGCTCCGGCATCCCATATGGGCACCTGTTTGAAATTGGCTGCCCTACTTCCAGTCCAGCTATCTACTATGGCCTGGGAAAGCAGTAGAAGATGGCCCAAGTCCTTGGGCCCCTGCACCTGTGTGGGAGACCTGGAAGAAGCTCTTGGCTCCTGGCTTTGGATTGGCACAGCTCCAGTGATTCAGGCTAATTGGGGAGTGAACCATCGGATGCAAGAACTCTCTCTCTCTCTGCCTCTCCTCTCTCTGTGTAACTCTGACTTTCAAATAAATAAATAAATCTTAAAAAAAAAAAAGAAAGAAAGAAAACAGGTGGAGCTAATCTTTGCTTTTAGAAGACAGAATAGGTTTACCTTTTGGGATGAGTCAAGAGACATTTCTGGATGTGTTTTGTATCTTGGTCTGGGTGGTAGTTGAAAGATGTATGTGTGTGTGTGTGTGTGTGTGTATCAAACATGCAATTTGTACATTAAATTGTCCGAACATTAAGCTTGAAAAAATCTTTCTCCAAACTTACACCCCTTCCAGCCACCACGTACTGTCTCCTCTACTCATGGCTACAATGACCAAAAGACTTATCTGTACTTGCTGTCACCATTTTCCATACGCTGTGAGTATGGGATATTCTTTAACACACTCCTCTCTTGTTTTTCCATGCCCCGTTCAACCCACCGAACAGTGGCCCCTGAGGTCTTGCAATGACCTCAGTGTCAGAAATTCTAAGCGACATTTGTCTTCCTGTTATCTGACTGCTTTCAAAATCCAGACTGGACACCAGTTGACCACATTTTCCATTGTAAAGCATCCTGTGTCCAGGCTGTCCAGTGTGGTAGCCAGGAGGCATATAAGCCTCTTGAACACTTGGAATGTGGCTAGAGTGACTGACGGATTGACGTCTACCCAGTAACTCAGTCACCAGTGGGGATGCCCAGGTCCCAGCAGAGTGATGCCTTTCTCCAGCCTCTGAGTCCAGCTTCCTGCCACTGCAGACCCTGGTAGCAGCAGTGAGAGACCCGGGTTTAGTTCTTGGCTCTCAGCTTTGGCCTTGGCCCAACCTCAGCTGTCACGGGCATTCAGGGAGTGAACCAGCATGTGGAGTGGGAGTTCTCCATCTGCATCTCTGTCTCTCTGCCTCTCAAATTCGACAGAGACAGACAGATGGAGAGTTGCTATCCACTGGTTCACTCCTCAAATGCCTTCAATGGTTGCAACTGGGTCAGGCTGAACATTGGAACCAGGAACTCAATCCAGGTCTCCTCCATGGGTGGCAGGAACCCAGTTACTTGAGCCATCACTGCTGCTTCCTAGGCTCTGCATTAGCAGAAAGCCGGAGTCGGGAGCAGGTTGGTAAAAGGCTCAGGCATTCCAATAGAAGACAAGACATGGGTGTCTTCACCACCAGGCCACGCCCACCTCAATACACAAACCTTAAAAAACAAAGAGGCTCCCCGGATGACTGCAGAATGCAGCAGGGTTCACCCTGCAGCTCTAGCCACCCACCTAGGCACCTTCAGCCAGATTCACAACTTTCACTTCCACACTATACATCAGTTTGTAGAGCCAGCCCAGTGACCTCCACCTGCCTACTTGGCACGCCCTCTGGGGCACCTCAGCTTCAGCACCTTTGAAACTGAACTCACGATCCTCCCTCCTGTGCCCAGTCCCCTCCCGGCGTCCCCTACTGCAGTGCATGGTCCCACCATTCCTGTGGCTTTGCAAGCTGGACACCTAACAGCCCCATTCCCCGCCATCCCCTTTCCTCATACTTACATTCTCCGCTGACATCACTTTCAGTCATCCCCTCTCTCACTACCCAGCTCCTCCCTGACAACCACTACGGCCTCCTCCCTCAACCCTCCGCTTCCACTCTTGCCCTCTACAATCCTGCCAAGGCAGCCAAAGTTTCCTCCTTGAAAATTCTGCTACTTGAGCTCTAACCAATGCTTCTCAGGGTCCCCGTTAGCAGGAAGATGGAGTCAGGTGCTGGAGCCAGTATCGAACCCAGGCACTCAATGTCTCTCTTGCAGATTCTCTCAACACTGACAAACAGCCTGCACCGTGTGGCCCCGCTGAGCTCCCCCCACCCTGTCCCCCATACGCCTCTCTCCACCTCTGTTCTCCAGCCACACTGGCCTTACTCTTTGTGTGACTTCCCAACCCCAGACCTTTGTACACGCTGCTCCCTCTACATGGAAACCTTTCCTTTCTCTCTTGGCCCTCATCCTTCAGGTCTCAGGTACACGTCCCTTCCCCAGATCACGGCCCCATCACGCGATATCACAGCACCACAGAATTCTCACTTGCAGGATTTGTGCTCCTTTAGTCATGTAAATACACGTCATGTTCTTTCATTACTTTCTTGCCCACTCTCAGTCTTGCCCACTAGAGTATAATGTCCACGGGGGCAGGCGGAGCATCTGCCTTTTTTCTGAGCTCCTGTGCCCTTGCATCCGGCACATAATAGGTGTTCAAGACATGGCTGTTGACTGACTGTATGAAGGAATGCAAAAATCCAACTGAAGCCCAGAACCAGCATGAAGGCCGGACCACGGCAGGGTTAGGACCACGGACAGTGTCTGGGACAGGAACTTGGTTGCAAACAGTAGCTGGGGCAGAAGCAGAATCAGAGACCAGGCCAGGGCGGATCCTGGAAGCACCACATCTGGAAAACTGGCAGAATCTACCAAATTTACCAAAGCCAAGCACAGGCAAGCCTTATGACCCGGCATTTCTACCCCTAGAAATATTCCCAACATGGCGGTATTACTCATCACCACCCAAATGTTTCACACCAGTAGAATGGATCAGATAACTGTGGTTTGCTCCCACAGTGGAATACGGTGAAGCACTGAGAATGAGCTACACTCTATGCAATAGCATGGCTGCAGCAAAGGAGCCAGACGCGTCCGAGGACGCACCGCAGAATCCTATCTATTACGAGTCTAAGGGAGACGACATTAATCTGGAGTGTTCTGGCTGGAGCTGTGCCCTCTCGAAGGAAGGGTGAGGCAGAAGAGGCACCACGGGGCTGAGTATCTTGTTCTCGACCTGGGTGAGGTTGGCCAGTTCTGTTTGTGGAGCGGAGGCAAGCATTGGGCAGCACAGGGAGCCAAAGAAGTGAGTGGAAAGGAGAGAGATAGGGGAGGGGGCTCCGGTGAGCAGGGGACTGGGGAGGGGGTGGGTCAGAGGTGGGGAGGGGTGTCGGCCAGAGAGACTGAGGGGGAGGGGCCGGAAACAGCTGAAGACAGGGCAGGGGCTGTGAATGCTGACTGGATCCCCCCACCCCCAGCACACACACTCACACACTCACACTCACACACTCACACTTCCTGGCTTCCTATTCTAAAAAATCTCCTCTAGACAAGTGACAAAGACATTGTCAGGGCCACTCTACCACCAGGCAGCCAGGGATGGAAGGACAGACTGCTGCCCCAGGAGGCACCTGCCCACGGCCCTGCGGGGAGATGGGAGGCGGGCATGCAGACAGCGGCCCTCTCCTGTGTCCCCGGCCCTTCTGTTACCTTGGAGGATCGCCTGCCCTCAATCCTGTCATTCTGTGTGGCAGGCCAGGCAGATTACCCCTGCACCAACCTCAGGGTTGGGTGGGGGCAGGGGAGACTGTGCACACACGTGCAACATGTGCAAGTATATTCCTGTGTGTTTACCCACAAGGACGGGGCTACCTCAAGAAGTCTGTGGAAGATGGAATGACAAGATAAATCAGTTGGGTGCCAAAAAAAATTGAAATCCAAGTAGAGTTCTGTCATAATATGCATTTTCCCATCCATTCTTGAAGACTCCTTACACAAAAGTGAACACACCTGCACATACATACACATAGTCAGCCCAATAAGCCTGCATCGCTGCATGCACACACACGTGCATATGCGTGTACACACACACACACACACACACACTCTCTCCCCCTTCTTCCCTTCCACACCTAGTCTCTGGGTGATGCCTAAGGAAGCCAGCTACCCAACCCAGGGGCTCAAGGGCAGCTGCATGAGTCAAAGAACCTAGGTGGAGTTCAGGAAACCAAACAGCAGGCCCCTCCCAGGAGAGGAGAAGACGACTCACAGCCCCTGCCTTTCCATAGCCCCGGGGCCTCTGGCAGTCGTCCAGTGCTCCCCAGCCCCACCAACGTGGATCCCAGGTCTCCCCCTGTAGTAGGGGACAAGGAGAAGGTCTCAGAAGCCAGCAGCTGGGCTGGTCCAGAAGACAGGCTCAGCCCCCTGAGACCACACACCCAGAGCCTCCCTCCCAGCCCCCTCCCCTACCCAGTCACCAACCTCTCTCTGATGCCCCCTTCCAACTAGTGAAGAATTCTGCTCTCCTGTCAGCCCTTGCAAGTGAAGAAGGTGGGTGTCTACTGGGTGTCCCCACGTTTCTTCTACTGCTGTGACTGGGGGGCCCCTGCAGGGGTGTGCTGGGGGGACACGGCCTCGCCCTCCTGGCATCCTTCCCATTGCTGGAAGACTGGCAGGGGTGGGGGCACCTTCCCACACTGTGACTCAGCTTCCCTGGTATTCAGTGTCCTGGCCAATCTTGACACTTTGCTCATCAGGGACTGCAGGTCCCAAGGGGTGGGGAGAGGGACTGGCTTCCATGAACTACATTCCAGGGTGGGGGGCTCTGCCCCTTCGGCCACACTCCCAGATGAACCTGGCAACGAGGGGGTGAAGGTAGAAAGTAGAAGGATTCTAGGAATGTGAGAAGAAGAAGAGCATACCAGGGAGGAGAGAGTGTGTCAGATAGTGGGTTCGAACCAGGTGGGCAGCAGGTGCCAAGGACAGGGAGTTGGGAGACCCAGATGCCCCTTATTCTGGAGAGCTTATGGGCTTGGAGAATGGAAAAGTTAAGAGAAAGGATTTCCGGACCCCCGTGGGAAAGGGTCAGGGGGTCAGTGAGAGGCAGGAAGGCGGGTTCAAGTCCTGTACGGAGGGGCCAGGACTTGAGCCCGAGGCAGTGTGAGGAGTGGAGGTGCCAGGTCCTGAGGGAGGAACCGGAGCGGGCGGGGCTGAGGTCCGGGAAGCAGAGGCGGGGCAGACGGCAGCTGTGGTGTTTCCGAGCTGCTTCCGAGGAGTTCCCTTCAGTTCCACTTCCAGTTGTTTCTCTGCCATTAAATTCTTTCCAGGCGAGATAAGGGGCCCGCCCGCCCCACCGGGGTGTGTCACGTGTGTCTGCGTGGTGGGGGGGGAGGTCAGACGGACAGAAGCAGGGGGAGCCTGGATGGGGACGGAGTCAAGTCGGAGCCCTGTGCCTTCCTGGGACGTCTCCCAGCCACGCTAGCCCTGCTGAACCGTGAGTCCCGGGCGCACTGCTCTCGGCCAAAAACAGTTTCAGGATCGTGCTCTGCACCTTTCCCAGACCCCAGCGTCCTGGCTGCCCCATTTCTGCATTTCCTGATGGCTCCAGACTCCCCAGACTCCCTCCCAGGTCCTGAAACTCAGGTGCTGCCACCTGCGGAGCTCCCGCTGGCACCTCCTGCCCCGGCACTTGGAATTTCCACCTGCACTTCCCTCGCGGGGCTCAGCTGCCCCCCAGCTCAGCCTAGCCTGGCCCTCCCCCAGCCCCAGCACCTCTACAGCCCAGGGGCCATCTCACTGCAGCTGCCGCCGCCTTCCAGCCACCACCTGAGTCCAGAGTCCCTTGGTGTTTGTCCCTGACCCCTCTCAGGTGTGCGCATCTCATCCAAACTCTGGCGTTCTCCCGCCAAGACACACACACACACACACACACACACACACACACACAGCCTGTCCTTCCAGACACACCCTCTGCAGGAGTCGTCCCTGTTGGCCTTCCCACCTCCTTTGAAGAGCAAGTCACTGCCCCAGGAGGCACTCTGAGCAGCCTTCCTGCTGTCCTAGGGGACAGAAGAGAACCCCCTCGCCTCTCCCTGCTCGCGGATCTGGTCTCCCTGTTCCTTACCTGGGCAACGGGGCAGCTGCAGTGCCTCTGCACCTGCTGTCCCCAGTCCTGGAAGGAAGCTGTCTCAGGGCAGGGCAGGGCAGGCTCCCTGAAGGTCCCCCTCGCTTGTGCCCTGCAGCAGAGGCTCACGGAGCCCTGACCACGACTGAGCCAAGCTTGGATCTCGGCAGCGACACAGAAAGGGAGGGAGCCTGCAGCGAGCAGGGGGAGGAGAAGGGGAGGACCAGCATGAGGTCAGGGAGGGGAGCGGAGATAGGGCAGGTCCTCCCACCCCTGCAGGCCCTCCTGCACGCCACCCCTCCTCTCCTCCGGTCCCCTCCCTGTCTGTCCCCCCACAGCCTCACCTTGCTGGTCTCACCACCCCTGTTCTTCCCCCATCCCATAGGAAACTCCTTTCCCTCACCCTGCTTTCTGCCCAACTGGACGGTCTGTCCTCAGGCTGTTTCATGCTTCCCGACCACTTGCCCACCTGTCGCCCAGTTCTCTCCTCCCTGCCCACACCCTTTCTCAAGGCTGGCCCCTCTGCAGCCCTCTCCCCGGGCTCCCCATCCCTCACTCCAGCCACTGCCGTTCCAGCTGTTCCAGCTCCAGCGTGCTTCTCAATCCATTTGTCTGCCGCCCCACGCCTTCAGCCGTCTGATTTCCACCAGGCAGTGCAGGGCGGGGAGCAGAGGCGGGGGTGGGAGGCATCCTTGGGCCTGAGCCCCTCTGCCACGTGGAACCATCCAGGAACCATCCATCCTACGGCGCCCACCTGGCTGCCCCTCCCTGCCAGTTCTGCCCAGTCCCTTTCCTGTCCTCAATTCAGGATCACTGCTGCCTTTTCGTTCTTCCACCTCAGCAAATTCCTAGAGAAACAGCAGGAGCGGCTTGGGCTGAACACCAGGACGCACACATCTAAGACTTGGGGAGGAATCTGGGGTTCAGGGGGACGAGGAAGGCAAGGCTGAAGGTTAGGAAGAAAGTGTAGGGATGACAAACGAAGGAGGCAAATATGGGGTGGGGTCCACACATGGAGGGGTGAAGCTGCAGGGGGCAGGAACGCAGTGGGGAGAGAGTGAGGGGTTGCACAAAAAGAGCACGTTGGTCTCAGGCGGTGAAAGACCCAGGGGACGGCAGACAGGACGGCTGGGGAGGCAGGCACAGATCATGTGTCTGTGGGGGGTTTCCTGCAGCCTCATTTTTCCACCACTGCCCTCACAGGGGGCTCCACACTGAAGACTGAGTTCTTCCTGCCCCACCGCCACCTCACCACCCGGGTGCCCTTGGCCAAGACACAGGCGATGGGGAGAGGGACAGGAAGGAGTCTCCATGTGCCTGATTCTGCCAGCTGGGTTAGGGCACAGCTGTCTACATCCACAGCTCAGGTGTGCCAGTGCTTCTGGGCAGGGCGTGTGGCTGGGGCAAGATGCCGTGTTAGATCTGTGTGGCACAAATGGGCTCTCGCATGGGTGTCCCCGTGTGTCCATGTCTGTATTTTTCCTGGCTTTGATGGAGACAATGAAGTCATCATGTTGGACAGAGCTGGGCTCTGCTTCCTTCCTCTGCCTTGGCCTGAAGCCCCCAGAACCAGGGGGTGGTAACAGCCTCCCTCGGACCTCCTGATAGGGGCTTGGGGGACAGAAACCGAAAAGGTGAGGGTCTCGAGACCAACACACGGGAGAGCAGACCACACGGAGCAGGTATCTGTTCCACGGCCACGGCCACTTCCCCCCATGCCCTGTCTTGGCTTTCTTGTTTGGGAAGTATGGTCATCGTAGGTTCATGTGACCCAGACTCTGGTCAGAAGCAAGAGCCGGAGGATGGCCCCAGAGGCTTTGGAAGCCGCTGCTGAGGACTGGCTGCTGTGGGGGGTGGGGTCTCAGAGCGGAACGGGGCACAGCATTTCTGGAAACCCCCAGACACTTGACAGATTTCAAGTTCTGAAGTAATCACTGCTAACACTGGGTTCACCTCTCGGTTTCAAGGTCTCGGTGGAACTTGTGCCTTCTACATGTCTGCATCTCATCAGGAGAGCACCGAGCCTGCGCCGTGCAGGTGCGCCAAGGGCTCGTCAGCAGCAGTAGAGAGAGCACTGGGAGGGAGTGTGTCTAGTAGGGAGCCACAGGCGCGAGGCTCTCCCGAGGGTTGGTGGGAAGGTCCCAGGGCCGTCCAGGACTGTCATGCACTCTGGCTGTTCTCTGGATCCTCGGGACAAGGGTCTTCAGCTCGGACCTCCACCCTTGAATGATCTTCCAAGTTGCTGGCCTGACTTCAAGAGGCTGAGGGATAACAGATGCAGAAAAGAAGAAACAGAAAGACAGGGCGACCGGAAGGAACAGCAGCGTCAGGGCAACTGAGGGCGAGGACCTGAGGGATAAAGAGGGGAACGAGGAGAGGCCGGGGGGCTGCGGTCCAAGCACGCGGTCCCAGAGAGGGCTGAGACACACACAGTTGTGCTGGGCTTCCGTTGACAAGCAGTTTTTATTAATCCCGCTGTGCGCTGAGCAAAGAGCAGCCAGCTCCCAGGCATTAAGTGGCTCATCCAGGGCACTTTGCTCATGGTGGCGTGGTGGGGACAGGGATCTCCCCAGGCTTGCTGGTTTCAAAGCCTGTATTCTCTCCCTCCTCCCCACAACAGCTCCGGGAAAGGAAGGGATTGAAGACAGCAGACACACAAGTGAAGTGGCTCCCGAAGGGCTCTGCGGGGAGAAGGCTGTAGAAGCTGACTGCCGGAGACCTGCTCTGCATCGAGTTATAGTGTGGTCTCAGAAGAAATTAACACAAGACGGCTGTGTGGGGGTTCTAGAGGAGGTGGACGGAAGAGAGCACAGCACCAGCAGGCAAGGGAGACATGGGCGAGAGGGTCACAGGAAAGCTTGGACCTGAATGGACCCCGCAGAACTCCCTGTCTAGAGACATGGGTGTGGGGCAAAGGGAGGGGGAGGACATTGCTATCTCGTGACAAAAGAAAGTCACACAATTGTTTTCCTCTGCGCTCTGGGCCGGGTGGGCGCCTGTATTTACCAGAGGGACTGAGGTCGCTGTGGCAACCACACATCTGGGCCCCGGAATCCAGATGTGCTGCATCCAGAAGCCATAGCAGAACGATGAGGCAAACATCATGCTCCCCAGCACCGGCCCCCGCAGCTGGGACGAGGACAGGGGATTGGCGTGGGGAAGTGAAGGGAGCAGGGGGAGGAAGGAGGAGAAGACGGGCTGGGGAGCAGAGGGGAAGCGATGGAGGGACCAGGATGTGGACAGAGCAGTGGGAAGGAAACAGAGGGGTGGCCAGAACCAGGGAGGAAGAGCAGGAAGCAATGAGAAGACCCAGACAGGGACAGGGAGGGAAACAGGCAAGAAGAAACCGACCCAGAACAAAGCTCCAGGCACACAGCTGTGATCAGCTGTGGGGGTGATGGTAGAGTGTGAGGAAAGGAGTCGGGAGGGACGACGGGGCAGGGAAGACGGAGCCCAAAAGGCAGGGATCCCCAGGGTCCCTCAGGACAGGGAGGGGTCGCTGAGGTGACCCTGGGTGGGGTGTGGCCAGAGGAATGGAGAGCCACACAGGCCTGGGGGTGGCAGCCCAGGGCCTGCCTTCATTCCCTGCAGAAGACCTGTCTCCACATCTCTCTCAACACTTGCTACCAATCTGCTCCCTTGATCGGAAGGTCTGACCCCAGCTTCACACAAGAGTGCCGGCTGTCTGTCTCTGGCCAGTCCCCGAGGTACAGAGAGCCCCTGGGGTGGGAGGCAGGCACTTCTAGCACTTTCCCCGAGTGGGAAGTGTCCAGACGGACACAGAGCAATGGGAAAATGAACAGTGACGGACCCAGATGGGATGAAGGTGGAACAGATGGAAACGGACAGTGTAAATGGCAGGGAAAGTGAGGGCTGAGGAAAGGGGTCTACTGTGCCCCGGCGCTGCAGCCGCCACCTCTCAGCCTACGTCACCGAGGAAGCTGGGGGAGCATCCCACTTCACAGGCGAGGGAACGAAGGCTCGGATGTTTCAGGATACCCACTAACAGAAGGCAAGGCAGGGCAGCCAGCTCAGGTGAACTGTTCCCCAAGCCCTAGTTCTCACTGCACGTACTACCCGGAGAGTGCTGGCTACGGTTCGTGGGGCCCTGGGACAGGAAGCCTGGCTGAGGAGCCAGGGCTGCCCTCTGGAGGGAGGAGAGGTCTAGTTCCTGGGAGCCCCAGTTCCAGGTTGCCATGGCCACCGGGTCTGTTTTCACCCCAAACACAGTAAAGGCCGGCTGGGGGGTTGTGGGGAGAGTCTGGCCGGCCACGTGAGGTTCTTCTCCCTTCTTCAGGCCTGGGCTTATGGCCCGGGCAGCCCCTGTCCAGTCATCCGGGCGTGGAGCCCAGGCCCGGCTCACACCCTCCAGCTGACCCAGGCCGCTCCTGCAGGGTCAGGCCTGAGGCACCGCTGGACGGGGTTCCCTCCAGGTTGGGCTGAGCCTCAGTCTCTCACTTCGCCCGGCTGCCTTTCCTCTGAATGAAAACGCACGCCTGTTCTGCCTGAGTGGATTCTCGGGGCTCAGTCTCCTCCATTTTAGGGAGAAGAGGATGTCTTGAAACACCCTCTCCCTCCCTCCCGAATACCACCCCTTCCCCACTGCGGCCCCTCCTGCAGGGCTGCGAGCCAGCTGGCCCCAGCGCTCCTTGTTTGTGTGAGCTTCTCATCCTGGAAAGCAAGGGAGAGAGGGAGGGAGAAGCTGCGGGGGAGCGGGGACGCAGGCAGGCCGCGCCCCCTGGCGGGCGTGGGGCTCCCCTGCCTTCCTGTTTACTGAGATCTGTCGTCTTGCTGTCTCGCGTGGGGCAGCCCTGCTACACACAGACGTACCCTGGGGCGGCAGGGTGGGGCCGGGGGATGACATGAGGTCTGCGAGCCCACACCCACCCCACCCGAGGGCCGGCTGTGCCTCCAAGTGCTTGCTCCTTTGATGCTGGCCCTACATGAACCACTTGCCCCCACACGCCCCGTCCTGAGCCAGGAAGGCAGCCACCATTCCTTTGACTCCCTCCACGTTGTTTATTTAATAATAAAAAACAAGATATGCACACACGTAAACCCCATCTCCCTCCACCACCACCCCTCCTATATTCCCGGGAACTAGCTCAAAATGTAAAAAAAAATAAAATAAAAAATTCCCTTGTCCCACCTGGGGACCAAATCCCACCTCCACCCCGAA